GCCCCCCCCCCGCTTCACGGCCCCAAACCCCCCCCCCCCCCCCCCCGCCCCCCCCAACCCCCCCCCCCCCCCCCCCCCCCCCCCCCCCCGGGCTCCACGTTGCACAACGTGGATGTTCCACTCGGGAAAGACCTCCTTCGCGACGCTCTCCGCGAACCCTTCGAGCGCGAATTTACTCGCGTGGCAGAAGGCGTTGCCCGCCCTGGGCTGCCGAGATATCCCCCCAATGAAGAGATGTTTATTATATATAACGCCGCCCCGCTGTCCGGTCCTGGGGTTAGAGTCCCGGAACGCGGATAAGGCGCGCTTGGATACGTCGACCGCGCCCCGGAAGTTTGTGTCTAGAAGGGCGCGGGCGCGGGGCGTTGCCGGGGGGCGAGGATTCCGTGTCGCCTGTTAGGTTGTACCCTGCGTTGTTGACGACGATGTCGAAGGCGGCGTCGATGGATGGCACGGAAGTTACGTCTAGTGCTAGCTTTAGGACGTTAGGGCCGTCTGGGATGTCGGAAAGCGATGCTGGGTTGCGCGCTGTGGCTACTACGCGTTGTGAGGGCTTCTTGGTGGCGATGTATTGGGCGAGGCCTTGTCCTATGCCGGAGGAGCAGCCGGTGACTGATAATACAATATATTAGCAAATCTGATCCTTTACTTGATACAGATCGAATATCTCAACTTACCGAACCAAACTGCATTGTCCGGCAAGTTATACGGTTTAGTATCGGGTGTTTCCATCTTGAATACGCTGTATAAGTGGTTTGCGCCTACGAGGTCTTTTTTCCCCTTGGAAGACGTATGTAATATAGCGAACAGGTCTACGGCGTTACGCTTTTCTCAACGACTTGCCTTAGTACTTTATATCATCAAGAGCTTTATATTCCTTAGACCCCGGCCCCCTTTGACAATCTAGATTACAGTAACATATATATACATGTATGACAGGTAGATCATCTCACCCAACAAGCCCAGCATAGCCACCAGCCGACAATCAGAGACAACCTCACATCCTATGTCTGGATACACCATTCTGTCCTAACGGCATAATTACTCACTTTGCGAGACCCAATTTATGCAAGCCGGGTATGCTTAACCCCTTTCTATGCATAAACTCCGTCCTAGCTCCGCTATAACTCCTGCCTATCCCTAGATGGAGATATCCGCTTCACACACGCTGAATCGTTTTCGGAGCTTAGCCATAGAACTGCTAACAACTTCTTTAATACGCGTATAAGACACGACCCTGGGCCTCTTATCTACGTATTATCCAACGTCTCATATTACCGAGTCGTGAGACAATTAGTAAGCTACATATTAATCCAGACATGAAATACACTATTGAACTAATTATCTCTTGGCGACCTTACTACGAGAATGACATAACATATCACGTATAGATAGAACTTAAGACTCAAGGATAAATAGCCTGGTAGGCATTCAACAATACATTAAAACAATCCCTACTTTTTAGCTCTCGGCGGCCAACCCATCTATGTAACAACTCTACATATACTCGTCAACAGGTCTGTTACTTCGTCAATATGATAACTGATTCTCATCTATCCGTGAGCCCGTAACGTAGTCGGTGCCCCGGTTCATGTCCTAGGCCGTAACTTTGCTCATCTGGACTAACCGTTTAACTCCAACCTATGATTTTATTAGCAAGAATATCTACGTAGATAAGGGGTTTCCGACATACCATCCAGTTACCGCATTCCTCGGTCTTGTCTCGTTGGATCTCTACCTGCAAGCGCTGAGCCTCCGGGTAGTCCTTAGACTCTAACGCATGAGCCAGCTGGGTTAATTGCTCGATAGTGTCCGGCTTCACGAGTTCCTCATTGTTGAGATGATCAAATAGCAGACCTAACCGTTTTTGCGTATCTTTCACCTGAGGAGCAAATGAGGCCGGTGCCTTGGAAGCTACTCGTTGCATGTCGCGACTCAGGATATCAACTAACTGTTGGGCGTTAGGAGGAATGTGAGAGCGATCACCCGCAGGGTGTCGGGGCTTTGGTGGTGCCGCGGCTCGTGGTGGAGGGGGCGCAGGCGAAGTTGTTGCCGGTGGGGGACCACCGATGCTCGATGGAGGGCCGGTAGAAGGTGGCCCTTGCTGTACCGGTGGAGCACCATACGGGGTTTGACCGTATTGATTATGAGAGGGCGCTGCCTGGGGAGGTGGCGCATAGGGGTTTGGCGGCGGCGCTCGACCAGCATGGGGCGGGGGAGCCTGCTGGGAAGGAGTACCGAACGATTGAGGCGCCGGTGCTGGGGCGTATCGGCTTGTAGGCGCAGCTCCTGCCGGTGGTGGGTTGTAAGGTGAAGACATTCTGGGGACAACGTGGCCCATTGGGGGTGGAGGCATACCGGGCCCTCCCTGTGTCTGGGCAGGGGGAGGTGGAGCGTAATTTTGTGCCGCAGTTGATCCGGGTCGAGGAGGCGGTAATTGACCAGCTTGGGGAGGGCCACCAAGGGGAGACATTATCCTCCCAGCCGCTGGACCTTTAGGAGGGGGAGGTGGCGGTGTCGCTGTTCCGTGCTGAGAACCGTAGGGACTCTGCGGTGGTGGAGGCATTGCTTGGTTTGCTTGGTTAGGGAATGGTGATGTGATAGCGGCAGCGCTCGGCGTGTTTCTTCGGGGAGGCGCTTTTGTCACTATGGGTACATCATTCCAGTTTCCTGCATCCGAAGCCCTTGGAGGAGGTTTTGTTGATGGGGTTGATGCTCTTGGGGGAGCCCCGAAAGATGTTGGTGGAGGACCATAGCCTTGATGTTGAGATAGTTGAACGGGTTGTGGCTGCGACGGCTGGTATCCTTGCGGGGCGTAGGGGTTACTAGCAATCGGCGGCGCATAGGGATTTGCTGCGGGAGTCTGGACAGCCGGGGGCGCGTAAGGGTTCACAGGATTGACGCCGGTAGCCGGTTGAGGTGGTTGATATCCTCCAGCTACGGATGGTGCTCGAGAAGATACATGAGGGACTGCGGGCCTCTGAACTGGCTGTCTGACAGCAGGCTGGGGAGCCACCCTTTTCGTTGCTAATTGCACACGCTCGCGTGCCATATCGGCAGCGTCGTACTTCGATGGTAGAAGGCTCAAGTACTTATGTGCGATCTCTAATTGGCCGTGGGCTGCGACAATGTTCGCATACTCAATGTATTTGTCGTAAAGCGAAGATAACTTCCAGCCTGAGGTTAGACTCGTCTCAGTGTCTTGGAATTTTGTTACGTGGCGGAAAACCGTAACCTTCTCAATGAATTGCTGGAGAGACCTTGCGTGAATAGAGAAAGTAGAATCGTTAGCCTCGGCTAATCCAGCTTTCTCGGCTTCCTCCAACTCGGCAACCCAGATGTCGATGACCTTCTCGAGCTTAGAACCAACTAGATAGCAGAAGGAGGCATCCTTCCTGGATCCAGATTCAAGGATACGGTCTCCCAAGGCTTCGCATAGATCAGGGAACTCGGTCGGGTCCGCATACGTGCAGAGCGTTACCATAGTCTCCTTCCAGTCAGCTAGATCAGCATTATAAACAACATCCCATAGATTTTTGACAATAACAGAACCCAAAAGCCGCAAATAGTTTGGGATGCCTGTCTTTTGGGATAAATAAGTGGATTGAACCTTGTCGACGAGCTCCTTTCCACCGCAGTTGGCGATAATGAAGGCATCCGCAATGCGTCCGTCCTTTAGGGAGATTTCACTTGCTTTCTCAAACTGACCCAACATTAAGGCCTTCGTGATCTGCTTCTCAACACTTGTATCACCCTCGCCAAATAGATGGAAGGGGTTATCCGTTTTGGCGCCCTTTGTGGCCGACAAACTTGCTAGGAAGTCCTCACTTTCGCCTTCGCCTCCATCGGAGAAGAAAGTCGAAATACGTTTCTTATGGGTCTTTACTCCTAGGCCAGATTTCTTTGGCTCAGGTTCCTTGGTCTCGGATGCTTCTTCGGTCACACCATTAGTTGATTCGTCGTTTGCTTCTTCCTCGCTAAATCCCAGATATTCGACAATTTGTTTTCGCGGGTTTTCGGTAAGCAGAGTTTCCAAGACACGCCAGTCAGCTTTCTCTTCTTCTGTCTGGGCTTGCTCTATGTGCGATTCACATATAGCCGTAACATCACCGGATTTGAGCGACTCCTCAAACTTCTCAGTCGCGCTGCCAATGTCCGAATCCACAGAAAACTGAGAAATTTCAATCTTAGAAGAGCGCTTGTGGCCAGGCTGATGAGGGTTTTGCTTGAAGATAACGAGTTTTCCGCCAAATCCAAACGAAACTCCAACGGGCCTCTCGAGCCACCTTGGGGCCTTCCCTAAGGAGAAAGCTGCGCCTTGAGGCTGTCTCTGGGCCTGAGTAAAAAAGTCTTCACCATCTAGGCTATTTTGAGTTGTGTTCTGTACAGCCGAGGGATTCGTGTTTTGGAGTGTCTGAATAGTAATCTTTCCGTCGAAGGACGCGGTCGCTGAGATACTAGGGTTGTGAGGGTGGAATCGGGTAAGGAACGTCCAGTTGGTGACCTCGGGGAATTCTCCGTAACGCTCGCCTGTTTGAGGGTTCCAAACTAACGTCCTGTTATCCTTGCCGGATGAAATCAAAATGTCGCCATCTTGCTCGCACCAAGATACCGAAAGAACACCTTGCTCATGACCTTGGAGTGTCCTCTCCGGTGCATTAGAGTTTCGCAGGTCCCATAGCAAGATGACGGGAGTAGTATCATCGGGAGTAGCGGTCAATAACTTGGTAGAGTTGTTTGGATCCCATGCAATAGAACTGACGGGCTTTCGGTTGTTGTTAAGCGTTAAGGAAGCCTTCTTCGTCTTTAAATCCCACACAGTGACGAAACCACCAGTTCCTCCCGTAGCAAGAATATGGGCTACTTTCGTGTTCCATGCTACACATTCTAAGTCGTCTGAACGAGCCGCAGCAGTGCCCAAGCGGAAAGCATTTTCGGGGTCGTAGACGTCATAAATGAATAATTCTCCCTTCGCGCCGGCAGTGGCTAGGATCTGGGGTCTCAAAGGGTTGAATTGTAACGACTTAATAGGCCCTGTATGTTTTGTTGTTCGTGATATTAACGCGTCGGATTCGCCTGCGATGAGTTTCGCAGCATCCCAGAGATCGAGCGAACCGTTTTCGAGAGCACCGGCGATAATGCCCTGAGGGTAGTCTTCGGAAGGTTGGCCCCAAGCAATATCGTAGAACCTAGTAATCGATTTGTTAGTAAACCCCATAGGCTTATTAAGGCTTTTGGGAAGTATGTTTACCTGGAGTCAGCAGCGATGCTTGCAATAGGTTGAAGCTCAAGTCCTTGTTCTTGGTTGTCAAGGCTCAGATCCCACAACTCTAACTGCGTCTCGTCGGAGAAGTCGGCGTCAACAGCTCCAGCCCGGGTTCCAGTAACTATTAATGGCTTCGTAGTGCCGGGCGACCAGGCGAAGGCCGCAGTACGCGAGATCTCGCGCAACCTGACCATGTTGTCTTGTGGTGACTACTCAGAGGGGTAGTCTAGCCTGAGGTTAAGGTCGGTCTTGTCGAAGAATGAAAGAAAAGGGGGATTCTAAGTGAGATTGGCTTAAATGCCAGTTGGCATTGAGCTTTCTAGGCCAGCTAGGAATGTTGGCAAGGGGTCGAATTATAGAAAGAGAGATTGGTTGACTGAGTTTCGCTATGTTTCCCTAGACTACCTAACATAGAGAGCGGTAGAGACTTGCTAATTCATTATGTTGCCAGATAATGCAGTCCAGCGGTCCGTAGAGGTGTGGCCTAGAGGTGTGGGCGCATGAGCTCACAGGCCAAGCCGAATCAAGATCCTGGACATGGAATCTGTTCCCTTCCTTGGCTGCTGTGGAGACTAGAAGACGCATCAGCCACATTTTAGTTCACGTGATACTTATAAATACCGGGCTCAATGACGAAGATGTCTGGTCTTATGTAATACATGCAGATTAGAATTGAAGCTTCAATTCCATTGTTCTATTCCCATACTGCCATATTGAATGTACGAAGTACATGAGTACTTAATTTCAGTGAGCCACACCCTTGGTTCTATAAGGCATCAGGGGCCTGTTATTTGATAAAACCTGAGCCTCACGCCAAAACTCACCTATTATACAAGACCAAATTCACTAAAAATCTACCTAGGTATATAACCCAGACGGACACTCAATATGACGGACGCGGCCCGTTGGAAGGCCACCGTATACGTCGGAGGCCTAGCATCTGTTGTCACCACCGTAAATCTTCACGATGCTTTCATACCTTTTGGCGAAATCGTGGATGTAACTCTACCCAAAAATGATGCGCCAAACTCCACCGAGCCGCATAGGGGTTTTGCCTACGTAGAGTATGAGGATGCCGAAGACGCCAAAGAAGCAATCGACAACATGGACCAATCAGAATTATTCGGCAGGGTTTTAAGAGTATCAGCTGCTAAGCCTCCTAAGAGTGCAGAAGAAGGACTAGGTAGTAAGACGGCAATTTGGGAACAGGTATGTTTATATTCTTAACTATATTGCACTATAACAGGTTTACTAACAAGCAAAATAGGAAGGGTGGCTTGCTGAGAATGCCGTCAGCGAGGAAGATCGGACTGCAGCTACGGGAGCTAGAGCTAGCGAAGATGACAGGCCAGAGGACCCGATGCAAGGACTTGAGGGACTTGACGTTGCTGGACCAAAACCGGAATGAGCCGGGACTAATAGTATCTACGTGAACTTTCTCGCATAGCGTTGGCGTTAGAAAAAGGATTCCAGGGCACAAAGGGAAGTCTTTAGAATAGGAGCTTGCGACTGAAGTCTATACCATGCTTAGTCTCCCGTATTTGACATTTTCACCTCCGTAGCTACGTGCAACATATACAGTGCTTTGCTTCTCCAAAAACCAGAATGCGCCCTTCCCCAGTAAGCTCCTTTCGATTGACCGTAGTTCAACCTCATGCCCGTGTCATATAGACTTCGCTTAATGTCCCTCGGCGTGATCCGCGGGTTCCTCCTTGCGGTTTTGGCGGTTGAGTCTAAGGTTCTTGTCCACGGTGAACTTGCGAAGGCTGGAATAGGTGGCGGCAAAGACGGCGAAGCCAACGACAACTCCTAATTGTATAATCAGTACACATGATCCGGCTCGTCCTCGTATAGAATTCCGGGTCGTGTAGGTTAGACTAACCGAGAGGGATCAATTCTGCCGGAATTTGTCGCAACTTTCGGAGGCGCTGAGAGACGGTATGTGCTAGCATATGCGTTAATATTCATATCTTAATTGATGACATTCCGACGTAAGGTTCTTCGGAGATGGTATGATGGGTTTAAGGCGTCAATGGTTCGCGACGGGCGAGAACGTACCGCTCTGTTCCTCTTTCTGTTATGGGTCATTAGTAAACGTCATAGGTTATGCGAAAGTAAAAAAAAAAGTTAAGAGGTTCGTACGGGAATAGGAAACATCATGCGCCTAGTGGGCATCATTCTCATAGCTCGTGTAGCATACATTTCGGCGGGTTGGGAGGAGATTGTTTTGTAACTATAAGGGAAAATGAATGCAAATCACTTAAGACCGTAACCGAAGCTAGGATGTGTCAAAGTCAATGTCAATGGGTGGAATTGATCTTTCGTAGTCGATGGAAGGTTTTGGGGAGGAGTAGCTTCTGCTTCGGTAACTTGGTAGGAGCCACAACCAGTAAAAATAAAGAAAACAATCATAGTGGGGTCCCATTCCCCCAAGCATCCACTGTATCATGCCACCAAAGCCTGAGGCAGCTAAAATTAACGCTCCATGATTCGATTCGGCAAGAAACCCAATGGTCCGAGAGCTCTTTCCAAGCTGCGATCTTCTTTAACATACATCACATCACCACTTTTCACTACGAGCCGTCGCCATTGAGCCCCCCCAACCAACATCTTTTTCCTCCAAAATAAATCACTTTAACCGCCAAGATGTCCGACGAAGAACGCGTAACGATGCCCTTCAAGTTCGTCACCGGTAAGTCGACTCCCCTCGAATTCCCTCAGACCTTTGACATCCGTTGTGCCGAATTCTGACAGTAACTAACTAATTGACTTCCGATAGCCGGTAAGAACCCCATATTTCCCTAATCCGCCAAAGACGACGAGACGAGACGATGCGACGCGATTAAGATGATGAATTATTGCTTAACCCCTCCGATCTAACCCGCGCCCAGGTGTCGACGCTCGATTCCCCAACCAGAACCAAACCAAGCACTGCTGGCAGAACTACGTCGATTACCACAAGTGCATCAACGCCAAGGGCGAGGACTTTGCCCCGTGCCGTCAGGTAATGCGACCATTTATAAACCTGTTACCTCACATATCGAACATATATACTGATTAGCCAAGTTCTTACTCGCATATCGATCTCTATGCCCGAGCGGATGGTACCAACGATGGGATGAGCAGCGAGGTTAGTAACCTGTCGTCAAGCATAAAGGACCAATGCTAACATAGCACAGAGGCTGGAAACTTCCCCGCCAAGTTGGATGCTTAAGTGCAACGCTATGGTTTTTTATAAGCATCCGTCGAATCAGCAACGTTGGACTTTTTCGATGTAGTATATTACCTACCTAAGACTTTAAGCCAGCCAACAACTAAAGATTCGCTCCAAATTTCTCGTTTTTTATGCCTATGTTTATATGACTAGTTGACACATATTGCCAGTCTTGATTCTCACCATAGGCAGGAAAGCCAAGAGTATAATCTCAGGCATAACTCTTTTATGTATGCCTAAGGTTTACCTTGGGATATTTTTGTGCCAAATACGAGTAAAAATTTCTTATTTGGGACATATGCCTTGCTACCTTGTGCGAATTTGTCCTGCCTTACAAGCAGTAAGAGATGAAAGAAATAAACAGCAAGGGAGCTAGAATCAATCCTGTTAAGGTATGTATAAGTAGCTTAGGGGTAGATCTATCAGGATTGGGTATATAAAAAGCGCGCAGCGCCCTCGTAAGAAGGTAAAAGGCAGGCGTTAATGGTTTAATACACCTATTTTAACATTTCTTTTCTATATAATATTTACCGATATATGACTTGTATATAGTATTTGAAAAACTATTGTAGAAATATAGTGCTGTGTATACCTTAGGCTTTTGTGTTACCCGGAGGGTGACCTCCTATGATACGGATGCCTAGGTACGTCATAAAACACAGGCAGATATCATCACTGTTCAGGCATTTTACGGGCTTCCTAATAGCTTTTAAAATCATACAACTATAAGGGGCTTTGCAATTACCTACTTCCGTTTCGGTTTCAGTAAATTCCATCTTATCACCCGAACCACACAAGACCCATGCGAATTTCATACGCAATGTCGCCATTTCCATTTCCCAAGTTCCCTACCGAGCTTCGCTGTCAAATCTGGGACAGTTTCCTAGAAACTGAAGAGCGAATAGTAGTCGTAGACGCCGGTAATTGGGCAGTTTATCCTATGAGACGACACATCTCACCCCTCTTGATCGTCAATCGTGAAAGCCGTCAGGCCGCCAAAGCCTTCTACTCATATACCGTCAAGGTCTACCATATTTGCGATATGGGTAAAGGGACAGGGACCCGTCGGAGACAGCCTTTGGAAGTACCAGCAGGAATATTACATCTCAACCTTAATCGAGATGTCTTCGTGAGTAGTTCATATTGGGGCGAATATTTTAAAACACTGGACGGACGCGACTTCAAATTATTGCGCGATCATACTACCGGCACTCTCCACTATGACCGTCGTCATATAAAAGGCGCGTACACCATTAAGTACTTTTTCGGATTCCATGGGCTTGATTTTCCCTGCTTTAGAGCTGGCGACTGCTGCTGGCTCAGTCGTCTGGATGTAGAGCGGGACAAGGAACAAGCGGAACTCTTTTTTAGGGCATCAGCAGTCTTTGGGGCACGAATTGACAAGGTACCTCACGACGAGTATGTACTATGGAACCCTGCTGGTCCTTTGAGCATAGGTATGGTTCTACGCCTCAACACCAAGAAGATATTTAAAAGCCATTACATAAAGGGGCGCAGGCCTCAAAGGTTCATGGAACTGCCCCCCGGCGAAATAAATTATATTCGATGACTAAGGCGACGAGAGCAAGTATGTACTCTCCCCAAGTCGACGTTGTCTCTTAAGGCAAACCATTGTGCTCATTTAATGGTGAGAGGTGAAATGTTCACTCGCGACTAATACATTGCTATTATGCACTTGCCGACACACACACACATATACGGAACTGCTTGATAGTATAAGGAACTATCCTTTACTGGCTCCGTAGCACACGCCGCCTAGTATATTTAGACTAGACAGCCTAGATAAACTCTAATGAATAGAGAATCAGCAGCATATTGCTAGGAATGTTGAGTGTTCTCTATATTCTCACCTCTAAGTTAAATAATGTGAGAAATCAGTAATTATAGACTTCGTTTACCCAATATTCCAAGCGTAGTCAGTCTCAGTTTTGTTTTGTTCTCGTCGCTCCGTCGATACCTTATCCGATACCTGTTTCAAGTGGCTCTACTCATCAGCATAGTAATTGTAGGCAGAATAGGATAACTCTTCTACGAGTATAGGTCGTAACCCCTACACGTCATTATCTTACCTTCACAAGAAACTTTCACTGTCGTCTACGAAGACTCAAGTTTAAGGCCGGCTTGTTCAGCGAGTTTATAATATCCAATAACCCCTGCCTCGGTTTTACTTCAAAAAGGGGCCAAATTTTCAGAGCACATACTAATACACTTCTCAGCATTAGTCGCTCTCTCGCTAGACTAGATTTTTATTAAACACTTTAGGCTAATATCACGGGTGACTAGCTGAATTATGATTTATGAGTACCTAAAATTAACTATTCACTACCTGTTACAACTCCATAAAGCGTTGGGCATGTCCAATTTCGACGACGCTATTCAAATAAACATATGGCATACTTTCTATGGCTCTTCGATCAGCTTCTACCAAACTGGTCTATGGACACTTCCCTTGGGGACAAGAAAGTTTCTTGGTCATTAGGGCAATCAGGCAAAGCATCTCGAGAGTGACGCTTTTTCCCTTTTCCAAGGTCGACTAATCTCTTCATCTTCTCTCCCAAAAACTTCAGCACTTCGATTAATTGTTCCCGTTGCATATGGCATTTCGTGAACTCCGGAGGCAACCAGCTAGGGTACAGCTTGAAGTGGGATTGCCCCATTTTGAATTGAGAAGTCATGCTACTTAAGATATAGTAACATAGCCAGCAAGGGCCTTTACTACATCCGATATAGTTGAAGAAATTCGCATCGTTGTGCGTTAGTAAGTACTCTAGCATCTGCATTTCACAATGGCTAGAACCGCAGATAGGATGGTCTTTTATGTGGTACCACTTTCTCAATGTGTCCTCCTTTTCCTTTTCAAGTATGCCTATTTCAATCGCTCGTTCTAGAAATTTACTGAAGTCTAATGTGAGCTCCCTTGACTTCCTATTTAGACCTAGGTTGAAATTTATGCATAGAATAGCTGAGCTGCTATGTATTTTGAAGCGCACGATGTCATACCACGCGCGGAGATACTTTGAAATGGTGTAGATTAGCCCATGAATATTTCGTAGCAATTTTCTACCTTCCCACTCTTTTAGGCCCGCTTGAAGTTCATCGTGTAGCGCATTTAAATCTCCTCCGTGGGACTCTACCAACTCGAAACATACATGCGTGATATCGTGAAGGAAGTCTATAGGTTCCCTACTCGCCACATCTTTGTATCTTAGAGGGTGCTCGGAACCACCATTAGCCCTCCCAGGCTTCGAAATCTTTGACTCTATACTGTGAGGACCGTAAAAGAACTTCTTCAATGAACTTATGATTTCCAGGAACACCTTTCGAGCCTCTACTAGCCCAACATTTTGAGGACTGAGAACTAGGTATTCAACTGAAGACGAAACACGCGACAAATTAAATATCTTTTCACTGCTATTGTCCCCATTACACGCTTCAACAATATATTTTGAGATCTTCGCACAACAGTTTCCAAGTAGATCCTTCCACAATTTGCTCTCGCGGCTAAGGCAGGAATTATTGACGGCGCACTCGATGTTATCCTTAAACCACTTTTGAATATCTACGATAAGGTGATCAGGTATTCTGCCAGAGGGATAATTTTTCGATATATGGAGGGTGTAGATATTTAGTTGTTCACACCACTCCATTGCTACCGCGACGGCCCCTTGGGAACCTGGTTGTTCGAAGATTAAAGCAAAGGAATCGAGGAGGTTCTTCCCAAGACGCTCCCTTTTCGTGTTATCTGCTACACCTTCTATCAAATTTTCGATTGGTAGTAGATTATTTTGTTGGACTTTCCCGTTTGGAGAGTATAACAGGCTATCTTCAACTTCATCTTGTTGCGTTTCTTGAAAATTGCGTACATAGGCGTAGGCATAGAATTCTTCTTTTGAAATCTTAGCTTTATCGAATAATGGCATGACTCAGGCTTAGTATTGGTGGTTCAATATGCAGTTTTCAGTTCGTAGAAATGGATATCTTGTAGGATATGATCAGTGGCATACTACAGGATCACGGCATCATTTATACAACTGCCTATTACAGACTTGTGATATATATAAGACTACTTAACTCTTAAACTTGAATCATTTAGGGTTTGTCTGAATTGAAAGTGTCACGATGATACGCTTGCTGGCGTTTTGCAGTGGCAGCACGTAACAATAACCTAGGTAACATGTAGATTGTCATTCAAAGGATCCCCAATTTACATGATCATGAGGATTCGAGATACGTGTTATACCGAATGAGGCGATATAGTGATGTGGTTATTACGTTAGTTATTTATGATGCATATATTTCTCAAGGTATTAGGCAGAGCTGTACCATACGAACTATTACTACTGGGCGTTGTATAGCATCCTAGACTATCGTGCCCAGCACGTGAGAGAGTAAATCTTAGAGCTAAGACAATACAAAGGGTGTCTTACATTATGTCATATTAACAAAGTGTGAATGTATATACCATTATGACGTGGCACATTTAGTCTTGTAGAAGTTTGTATCGAATTTCGTTTCAGAGCATTGTACACCTAAGCCATCAAATCTAGCCTTAGTAGAGAGCATCACTTCTGATTTTAATGAGATTCAAGACACTCTTTAATATAGGTAAGTAGACCTTTTGGCACTAATCCATCCAACGAACAACTTGACATGGTTACTAACGAATGTGATAAGATATTAATAATGTACTGAAGAGAAGAGTAGTTATTGTGCTTCTATTTCGCTTAGTTGTACAAAGCGAGCCTACAAGTTCAAACTTGAAGATGGCATCGTGCCTGAATTACTTGTGGAGTTATGGCCTTGTACGAAATATTAATACGCTCTTGTTGACTCCATTTTGATTTCTGTGATACTCGCAAGTTTCATATTCTAATAACCTTAGAGTAGATAGGCGAGAGTATGGCAAGGAAAAACGATAAAATAATAGAGTGCGAGTGTGGGCGAGAAAGAAAATAGAAAAAAAATTGAACCCCCAGAAACCCTCAACGCCCAGCCTATGACATTTAGCGCGTCCGCCTACCGGTCATAGCTACTGCGCGCCCTACTTTCGTCATTGGGTATTTGTTTGCGACCGCCCGCCCTCGCTAGACGTGGAATCTTTCGTCATCATCGCAGGGGGTCGGTGTCTTGTGTCTGAACGTGAATTGAGGCTGTCGAAAAACCTTACCCAGCGAGTGGGAATCGAATGGGAACATATAGGACTTAGGGGATTCCCGCCTGCCTAGCCACTCGACCAATCCGTGTTGCGGTGATTGAGTGCTTCTTTTTTGTAATTATAAGGTTCCGTTGCCTGAGGGGGTAGAAGCGCGGGCCTACACGTTGCTGTCGTGGTAACCGCCGGACGCGTCTGCATCTGTCGAGCGACACTTTTGCGTTGGTACCAGCTGGTGAGTCCTGCCTAGCAACGCCATTTCAACAGTGTCACTTGGTTGATTTAGGGGTGACCTCGCACTTGATAGACTATTTGCTTGACCGCATCTTATTAGCCAGGTCAAGATGACAAGTATTTATATTTCTGTATGAGCCCCTAATCTTAGGAAAACCTTCTCTCAGTGTTTGTTATGCCTGTATAGTTACTGAAACTCTTTGTATCTATTTACTATTAGACCGCACATATCTACAACGAATACATAAGGACTGTACCATGTAATATTTTAACGCCCTTGAAATAAGACTACAGTAGATCTTCCACTTTCCAAAGTAGCAGCTTTAACAGTTGAGAAGAAACTGTCGTTATTAATAGATGAGGTGACGGAATAGGGTAAGAAGCATAGAAACAACTTTGTTTATCCGTAAGGAACTCTAGCCCCAGCCATAGAAGCTCGTGGCCATCCATACTGAAAGTATCCTTTATTCTAGGTTAGATATTCTATCCATATGCTATCATCAACTACCACCGAAGTAACTACCAGATTTATAAGTGAACAATAACATGCTATATATCCCCAGTTGTGGAATATAAACCTATAATAGTCCGTCCGAAGCAGAAAATACATAGACAGTTACCGTCGTAGTAAACTTACACTGTAAGTCCTATTTCCCCTATTCCCCTATTCCCCTTTATTCGGCTCAGGAATGATTAAAGGGGGGAGGTTAAATTTATATGGGGCCTGTATCTGATATAAGGATATCCCCAAAAAATGAATTCGGAGTATTTAGCGGCCCGCACTGAACCGGGACCTAGGATCACTGAACCGCGGGATCCCCAAAATTTCAATGCGCCCACTGCGAAACACCAAAAGTTTATACCACTTCGACCTTGCGCCGGCCGAATTGAAAACTTGATAGCGAGCTGAGCAAAGCTTGCAGGACGGTTAATCAAGATGGTGAACCCGGGAAAGCGGATGCACATACTGCAAGCCGTAAGCACATACCCTCAATTATTTCTCCATCCTTCTCGAAATTGCCTGCTGCTAACACGTTGATTCAGAAGGTAAAACGAATAACCAATTGAACTATAAGCCCACTCGTTCTGATGCGAAGCCTCTCTAGCTACTGGCATTACGGCATGGCCCGGGAGCAGCGATATTACCACCCGAGATCACGCGGATACATATGGACTTCGCATTGAAGTGGAATGACGGACACATGGGACCGAGGTATGCTGGCTTTGCATTGCTAACCTCTAATTCGCTCCCGCGATCGATTGTTTGCTAACTAGCAATTTGTCTTTTCCCTCGATTATAGGAAATTCTGGAAGACCTGTCTCCCACGTCTAAAATTCTGGAACCCTGCGATACCTATGCTCGTAAACCGAACGCCAGATCAATCAGCCCCGGCCAAGATGTCCATCTACTTCCGACAAGCCTCGCTGGACTCCGATACCCCTTCCGCTCTAACCACCAAGCTTAGCGAGCTGCCGCTAGCACGACAACCGCACTCGAGCACGTCGAACGAACACCCAGCACCCGAGCCCGAGGAAGGTGAGCGTGTCGTGACGATAGACATGAAAAACGTGCACTCGGACGAGATCCTCAACGAATTCATGACCAAGACGGGCGCTACTCTCGTCCACCCGACACCCGACGAGCAGGTCGAGATGCGGCAAATCGAGGAACTTAAGGAGAAAGCTGCCATCGACCGATCAATCATGAAGAAGCACATCGACGATATTAAGCGCGAGGAGCGCATACTGGCTATAGCTCGCCAAGAAGCCGATGCTATCAAGATGGCCAACGAGTAAAGATAACCGGGGACCACTAATTTCTCTCTCTCCCCCTGTCGTCTTCCCTATCTATTTTAGGCCGGATAAAAATTTTTCTGCCCCAATAAAAGAGGTGGCCGATATGTATAAAAGCTAGCCGAGAGCAAGCTACAACAACAACAACAAACCTTTCGAGAGAACCTCCTTTTATGTTCGACTCGTCGCTCTACCTGTACCAAGACGTGTATCATACGCAGACGATGCTGGGCGCATAAAAACGCAGGGGATATATATGTATATCGAGAAAGGAAGTATATACCGCGCCTCTGCAAGAAGGCGGCGTCCATGATGGGATGTCTACCTTACCTATCAGGTACTCAATGAATAAAAATAACAATCAGAAGACATGCATGGTCTTTTTCTCTCTCCTCTACTTCCCTTCCTATACCCCAGTTTTCACTTATACAAACTCCTTGCATACACTCTGAGATATCTGCCCTGATCCCCATGGCTTATCTCAATTTTGCGTCAAGGAAGATCGATCATGACCACATCCTATTCCCCGTGACCTCCTTTGCCCTAAAGGTACATGGTTTATCTTGTTGGCCTACACTTCATTTTACTAGAGATCTGGAATTGCTTGAAAGTATAGTGTACCAGTTTTAGTCTTTGAAATGGTTTGCAATTGTGTCTTCGCTGCCCTCTAGATCTAGGTAGCTACCTCTATATCTCTTACCATCTCCGAGACGTGTATCGTGAAACTCATTACAACTCGTACTAGTTGAATTGTATACCATCAATGATACTAATGAATGGTCATCCAACCGCTCGTAGAAATCACCATCCATAGCATCAAATGATGTAACAGTATATCTTAATGACTTTATTTTCGACTTCGTGTCTCCATCTCCTTTCAAGGTCCCTCATTCCCTCATTCCCTAAACCATCATCCCCCAATAACAAAAGAAAACAATACATCTACACCTCAAACCTCAAACCTCAAACCTCCGTCTCAACATCCGGCTGCCGTCCACTCAACGCCCCCATCCTCGTAACCCTCCTAACCGCAAACTTAGCCTCGTCCTTGGCAAACTGCGCATTGCGCAACGGCCGCCACTGCATCAGCCCCCGGTGCTGCCGATGTAAATCCCGGCTCCGGTCCCGGTACTCCTTGTACTGGGTAATCGGGTTCCGACTGGCCCTGCTACGCCCCGATTCCGTCGTGCTCTGGCTTGCGATGCTGCTGGTGCTGGTGCTAGGTCGGTCGGATATGTCGTCGCTGGCGCGGGGGGACGCAGTTGTTGCGTCTTGTATGCCTAGGTCGGTTTTTCTGTGGAGGAGCTCGGCGGAGGCGATGGGGTTGGTGGAGAGGGGCATGGGGGTTGCTTCGTCGGTTGTGTCGGGGATGTCTGGCGTGTCTGGCATGTCCTCCGAGGTCGCGTCGGTTTCGTATTCCGTCTCGTCGCTGCCGTCGCGACCGGTCATTATGGCCGCGGGATCCTGGCCGAAAGCACCGGTCCAGTCTGTGCCGTCTCTCGCGAGCCACTTGCGCCGCTCTTCCTCAGGGACTGTGGCGAGGACATCGCGGTCTTTGGTTAGGGAGTCCTCGTGCAGTTTCTGGACGGCGGGGGGTAGTACTTTAGTAACTTCTTCTTGGCGCACGCCCTCCGCGAAACAGGCTTCCCAGGTCTCGATGGTTTCGCGGGAGTCGTTGTCGCTGACGAAGCGCAGGTGGTCGCGGTCTGTGCCGGCCTTGAAGCGCCCGCGGAATCGCAGACGTCCGACTTCTTCGATCTTAAGGTCTGGGATTGAGTGGAAGTTCTCCTGCGTGATATAGTTTTGCGATAGTCGCGTTGCGTTGTTGCATCTCCAGACGGGAATATCGAAGTCCGTATCTTCGTTGTCGACGAGCTCCGGTAGCCATACCGCTGCGAAGTATTCCAGGTGTCGCTTCCCGGGTAAGTGGAACTCGAAGAATACTGGTGATCGGTAGCGGTATCGGACAGGAAGACGAGGGCGCGAGTCATTAGTCACGCCGTTGATATTCCAGTCTACGATATCGCCTTCAGCAGAGCATTGCTCGCGCTTGACAGTTGCAGAACTACCTCCTGTCCTGAGCTTCAGCTTTATCTTGCCCTTGCCCGAACCTGTAAAGGTCGAGGTGATCTTGTCCGAAGTGAACTCGAATGTGCCAACGTCCCAGCCGAGTTGCGAAGGTGGAAGCTTTAGTTCGACGGATCGGAATAGTAGGGAGATACGGATTCTGCCAAAGCCAATTCCACCATCCAATGGGTACCATCGAGTGACCTAGTTCTTAATATCAGCATTCAGTCCAAAGGGGAATAATAGGAAATGCGCTCGACCTACCTGGCTACTAGTCTGCATAAGGTCAGAGATCTTCAAAGGAACGACACCAATGATAGGATCGTGCTGCCTATTGCGCGAATCACGAACCGTAACCGTAAGAATAGCAGACCTCCAATCGCGAACAAATCGCTCGGTACCGGCGTTGAAGATGGGCTTCGAGGAGACCACCTTCGTGCGAGTCTTGTAGACCTGCGCGATATTAGCAGAAGCATAGTTAGCGCCGACTGGAAAGCCTACCAGTTCATCATTGAGCAAGATAGTACAGTAAGCACTTGGCAGCTTCTTGCTGGATTCCTCCTTAATCTCACCAGCATCACGAGCGGGCTCGTACTCTCTCCCTCCCTTTCTCTTTCCGCCTTCTGAGCCTTTCACATTGGCTAGCTCGAGGTTAACGATTTGGTGGACGACAACGCCGAGAACACCAGAGGGCCAAAGAGGATCCGGAGGTGTATGCACAACAGCATCTTCCTCGTTGTTCTGGATGGCGCCCTTGTCGTCTTGTAACTCCTTGTCGTCTCGGATCTCCTTCGGTAGGGTGACGTCCTTGCCGTCCGTTCGCAGACCGGCGCGGAATTGCGTCTTGGTAAAGTAGCCCACTTCCCAGTGTAGCTCCCCCGGCATGCTGCTGTCGGCCTTAACGCCGCGCAGCCTAGATACTTGCTGGTACATCTTGCCGGGGTGCTGGATTAGCTTCTGCAGCGAAAGCTCGACCTTGCCGACGACATCATCGGCGCTCGAGCGGTCACTGTCCCAAAGCTCCATGGATAGCTGCTCATCCGCCTTGATGAGGTCAGGGGTTACGGCAAGAGCGCAACTCTCTTCGAACACGGGGTTGAGATCGTCTTGAATGACGCGAGTGCAATACATAGGCTTGCCGAACTTGGAGAAGCTGACGGTAATATAGGGGTCAGAGCCACCACCCTCGGAGCCTCGGCGGTCTTGCTTCGATAGCCCAACGGCTTTGTGGATGCGAATGAATAGTATACCCAAAGCCTGGGTTTCCTTCTGGATGTCGTCTCCAGATAGCATCTTGCCAAGATCGAGCGTCAGGGACTTCGGCGCGACATACATGCTAGCAGCAGCTTTGATGGCCCAGTTAACGAAGTTGGAGATCACCGGTAGGTTGAGAATGTTGACTCCGCGTTCCATCATGGGAGTGCAACCGGCTTCGACCTTGGGGACACCCATGAGCGTCATAGTAACTGCTTTTAGGAATGGCGGCTCGGGGGCCATCTGGAGTCTTAGTCGCACAGTTCCCACCAATCCGGTCAATTCAACCCCTAAACATAATCAGCGGTAAAATCAGACTTGAATAACACGGCGACTTACAAATCGGTAAGGGAATGCCGAATAGCCCCTTGATACCAAGATAAAATACCAACTGCATACCCATGTTCTGAGCCTTTGCCGAAACAGTGCCACTCGTGGGCTTCGCATGGTAAGCAAAGGAGGCTTCCAAGTTGTAATAGTCGCCTCCCTCTTCATCGGCCGCGAGTTCCTCTGGATCCTTGACCTTTTCGTTCTCCTTGTGCATCTCGTCCTTGATCTCCTTCATGTGGCTGTCGGGTAGAGCTCGCAGACTAAGGATCCGGATCGGGTTGTTGCCCTGGTTGATATCGGCCACCTTGACGTTCTCGATGATTCCTGGCACGGAAGCTTGCATAACATCCTGCTTCTGTTAATATTCCCTTTGTTTGACATATATGAATGAGACTTACTTCGAGGGTGTCGGCTACTGCGGAGAACATATCGGGGTTAATGAGACCCCAGACGATGCCGAGGAGTGTGTTCATCCACTCAACAGACTCGGGAATCAAGTTAGCAACAGCTGTCTCGCCGCGTTTCTGCTCGCTCGACCATTCGATGTCCCGGCCTCGCCTAACCAAATCCTTCATCCATAGGAAAATACCAGAAGCCACAAAAATGGCCAAGGGAATTAGACCTAGTAGTCTGCCTCCAAAGAACTTGCCCACGAAAATGATGCCGAGGAAGACACCGATGCATAACACTGTTGCTCGCTGCTCGATAATGGCGTACATTGGCTCATAGCTTACCGACGGCGTCGGGTGGAAGAGTATATTCGTCTTCTCACCGTGGATGGGCACATCTGAAGTAGCTCCTGTGGCTACCGGGTCTGGAGGTGCCGTTATATCCTGGGCTTTCCTGTATTCCTCTCCTGATTGTGTCGGATCTGTCTTTACCGTCGTATCCTTCCCTAGATTTGCATTTGGTACTGACAGCTAATATATGATATTAGTTATGTTGTTAATTTTCTTCCTATCTTATACGACTTACGTGAGGATCATGTACGGCCTTCATGAAATTAGAATTGACGTCGTCGATAGTGACTTTGTTGCCCGTGACGGGATCTGTAACCACTCTGCCCTTGCCCCTATACTGTCCAACATCGTTCTCGTGTTCCAGAATATCTCCATTCTTTCCGTTCGTTTTATGTTGGGAGTCGATCTTTGCATCTCGGTCCTTCTTGTCCTTGTCGAGAGAAGCGACGAATTCTTTTATGTTGGGGACTCTGTTAAGTCCTGAGTAGTGGCCACCTGGGAAGTGTTGTTGCTGTTCGGAAGCCATGACGTGTGATACCTATTATAGTGATACCTATTATAGTGATGGGAAAGTTCTATGATGCATGGAATAACAGAATAGCTTCTCCAAGGGGGTATAATAATAATAAAGGTTAACTATAGGAAATATAGAAAGGAGCTGCCTTCCACCCCTCGTTTGTCTAACTACTAGAGAGCAGTAAGAAGAATGGAAAACTAGTAATCTCTAGAACTCGATGTTGAAGATAGATATCTTGGTTAGATATGTTAATAAATTGCATAGGTAGCTAGCTACAACTACTAAATCTGAGCAGACTTGTCTGTAAACTGACAGGTTTACATCATTGTCAAACGCCTTTCTCTTTCAGCTGCAAAATGTGTAAGATTGAATCACAGTGCGGGAGTGTATGACGTCGGTGGATGCAGTTAAAGTCTTTGTAACTTTGTATACCAAGATATAGTTTAGGTAGTACCTTAGGTACCTAACCTACTCTATATTCTTGGATGGCGGGAATCTTGTATGCCCCACTCCGGTCTAGCCCGTTGCACTGTTGCAGCCGTATCGCATATCGAGTTTGCGATATTAGGTACCTTGGCCCGGGTGTCATAAGGTTTCTTGGCGATGCGAACCACCGGACTGGGACGAGTCTATGTTGCTAGTGTTGCTTGTTTCGATTAACTACTTGTTTCTATTATATCCTGCTTTGATAGTCGAGGCTCGTGTTGCATACTCCATCATCAGCAAACGCCATTCATCCAGTAATTTCCGTCTCATCTCTACGTACCTATGTACATAGCCGATCAGCTAAAATAACACTATTAAAATAAGTAGCCAAGGCAGCATGGCGCACCCTCTACAACGTGGGCGGGTGGGGAGCAGCACTACAAGATCTACAACAAGGGTTAAGACAGGCTTGCGTCATTCCCTTTCTAGGCCTACAACATAATCAAGATTAATACATGCTTCCCCAAGTCATATCTTGCCGCTTCGGATTTTCAGTGCCGTAGCCTCGCAAGCTGTTCCCAAGGACCACATTCAACATACTCACAATTAGCGGCCTTCACAGCATTTGCTGTTTGACGGATACTATGTTAATATACTAATTTCGACAAGGCATAACAACACCTACACTTTGACAGGCTACTAACAATCAATAACATATTAAGATAAACCATCGTGTAATTTGAGTTAAATCATATTTAGATATTCATATTCAGATACTCATATTCGTATTCTCATGTGACCAACCGTTTTACCATGCCAAACCGTGAAATACACAACGCGATGGTATCGAAAAACGCCTATGCTGATTCAATCAGGCCGCCCAATGCGCACGTATTCCTTGCGGTATGCGTTTAATCCCCTCCATTCTCCCATGCTATAGTTCCATACCGATCCTCTGGCTTAGGGCTGGCCTATAACCAATCTTCACCAACAGCTAGATACCTCTATATCTTTTGACTTCGCGAATTACGACTGCTCGTTGCTCACCAAATCAGGCGGTATTGGTATATCCCTCCTACTTCCCGTCTCGGGGTTGACTGGGTCTACGGCCCCAAGGTTTTCTACTTTCGGTAAGGTCGTATTGAGCATAGCTGCCGTTGGTATCTTCATTTCCAATTCGATATCGGGAGGCGTAGTAGCTCTGCTCGACGATATACTACTTGCGTCAGACATCTCGACATCCATCCCATCCCTTGCCAGGTCTGAACTTGATTCTGCAGACTCAAAGCTAATTTGAACCGCTGTCAGTGGTTCCGACGTGGTTGCTTTCGCATGTCTAGCCACAGGTACAGAGAGAGACAGTGGCGCCGAGGACCTAGGGGTAGATGCTTCTGCGGCAGCCTTGAGAGCAGCTATAGCACCGCTCTCATTTTCCTCGTCATCCTGGCCGATGGTCCAAACCCACTTTCGCCTCTTCTCCTTTCTCTTGCGCTTACGGATTCCGTCTGGTCTTGGCGAGTGAATCGGCGTTTCTGTGCCTAATCCCGTCATACGCCTCCGCATTTCCTCAAAAGGCCCAGGTGTCTCCCCGCCATCACGTGTTTCATCCCCCGTATATGCCAATGCAAGATCAAGTATCATGTCGGAGTCCTCCGCAGCTGGCGAAGGCGTATAGGGAGATGCATCGTCTCCGAGGAGTTCAACATGGGACTTAATGTACTTCTCAGTCGTAATAGTCTGTGTCAGCGGAGATACGTATCCTACGTGCCTGGCCGCATTTTCCTGTAGTCGACGGGACTGCCTCCGCTGGGATATAGGTGATATGGCACTTGGAGGTGGTAGAGGTGAGTTACGTAATATGCTATGAAGAGACTTATCGCGGCTATATGGCGCTTTTGCGGGAGATGCAAAGGGTGCATAAATCACTCGACGCCGAGTTTGAGCAGGAGAATATAGAGGCTCCTGTTTATTCACCTCGGTAGGTGTGAATGTGTAATTATTAGATGACTCGACGGCCCCAGCAGACAACGGAGGGGTTGATGTCATGGTACTTGGAAATACCACGTCCATCTGCTGAGCCGGCGAGACAGGATTAGCAGACAGAGGAGTATCCGGCAACGCTGCGGTGTAAGGTGTCTCTGCCCTCGGTTTGTGGGCCCCGAGAGATTCAGGGTCGGTTTGGAGCTTTAATGGTTGAAGAAGATTGATAGCTGTTAAAGGAGTCGACTGGGTCGGTGTCGACCTCTCAATAGCAGTGACATATAAGTTGGTGAGAGTATTGAAAGCCGTCGGTGATTTAGGATTGATATTAGGTAAGGTAGCTTTCGACCTGCTCGGTCCTGGCGAAGGTTTGGTTTGAAGAGACAGTCGGGGTCTCTTGGATGACTCTGTACCTGCCATGGCGATGATGGTTTTACGAACTGAGTTCGTTTAGATTCAACCTCTAAATGATCCACGAACGACGACACGGGAATATATGGAAAGGTCGTCGAGTATGCCGCTCTGTCTGAGCTGCCAGCAGACAAGGACGTCCAAACAACCTTCCTACCAACCAGGGTGTATTGAAAGCAATAGGTGTTAAACTCAACGTAAGATAAACGCCGGTAGAGGGGGTACGGCGGCTATAAAATACCCCTTGGCTTCAAGAGACCGATGGGTCGATAACGTGGGAATGGAGGGTCAGTTTAGCCAGTAAACTGCTCAGGAATGGAACTAATGCAAAATGCAGTGTGAAGCAACAATACCCCGGAAGCGAGAAGGGGGTGAAAGAAAGAATTGCGGAAGCGGTATAGACAACTATAGGATGTCAGGGCAGTGTGATCAGTGAAACTAGACGGTAAACGGAACATGGAGTTAACCACTCGCAGGTCGATTACGACAGTAAAATGCAGTTACTTCTACGTCTGGGTCGTTGGTTGGCTATAAAAAGTGACGAGGACTTAAGAAGGGAGGGATGACTGAAGACGCAAGCGCCAACGTATCCCTGCTTCCTGCGCGATCCTGGCTAAGTATAGCCAATGATGAAGATGGCGAGGTCGGCTAATGGGCCACATCGCGTATACGATTGCCGCCTCTGGCTTCTTCCGGCGCCTATTCCTTTCCATGTCGACAGCGATGTTTTCCCCGCATCTCGGAGGAAAACGTTGTTTCGCAGATAGTTGAATAAGTTAGAACCTGCTAAAGCGGTGAAAGTAAAACATGCAGCTAGGAGATCCAATAGACCCAATAGTATATTCGATACTTGGTCTAGTCGACTTCGTCCACATATATTCTGAGAAGAGCAGGTGACTATACATCGGGCTTAGAGGATCCTACCCTTCTCCAGGAGAATTGTTGGTCCTTGCCAATCTCCTGATTGCATAAGCCACGTTCCCACGAACCCATCGGTGCGGGTAGAAATAATAATAGTAAACTCCCCCGGAGAATAGAAATAAAGATGGAACTCGTTCGGGCATGCTCTCGGCATTTTTCCATCTCGGAATAATCTGGTTGTAACGCTGGAGCGGGTGGTCTGTGCCGTTCCGCTAACCAACCTAGAAGGAGATCCCCAAGAGATCTCAATCCTACCTATATTAAGAAACCAAGTTGTTTTAAAACATGTATAATCTCTCTTGGGAAGTTCTTCACTTCTCAAGTCGCAGAAACATTGTTTCGCCTGTCTAGATTCGGTTGCAGTAGCACTATGTTTTCACAGACTTGCCATAATTAAACCAGCACTCCCTCGGCCAGTAGCCAGCTATATTACTAGGACGAGATGAAAACATAGCGACGTAGGAACTTCCTATACTAGGACTCGAAAAAGCGACGGGGAAGCCGTTTAAAATGGACCCTGAGGAAATTCTCCAGGGATGAGAGAGAAAATAGAAACAAAATAACTAGAGGTAGTCAATGAAGTTCTAGAATATGACGTTTAATCATTCATCGGGTCGTGGGGAATTGTGGATGTTGTGGGGAGTACGGTTGACCAGACAGACCACTGTGCCAAAATGAAAAAAATAATCGTACACTAAACTAAAGTTAATATGAGGTCACTTGCCACAATTTAGAAAATATTAAACGTGTACTTCTAAGCCTTATTACGGCTTATTATAATAAACATATTAATTTAACCAATATAATTTAAAAGATTTAATTGTTAATTTAATTTTTAACTATTATATTAAGTATATATTTAAATAACTTTATAATTTTAATAATTATAACATTATAATTAATATTATTTAATAACTTTAATTAATACGAAATTAATGGTTTAAATTACATATTTATATAATAAATATTAAATATTATATTATTATTAAAATATTCGGAATTTAATTAAAAAAACTTTAATTAAATATTTATAAAAAATATTATATGTTTATAAAAAGTATCACGTGTTTATAAAAGGTATCACGTGCTTTTTTTTTTAAATAATCGCTATTTGATTTTATTATAACATAATAACGAAAAAACCGATTTAAATGTAATTTAAATCATTGTTTTTACATTAATTAAAGTTATAAAATAATATTAATTATAATATTACAATTGTTAAAATCGTAAAATTATTTAAATATGTAAATGTATAAATATAATAATTAAAATTAAATTAAATTAAATTAACAATTAAATTTTTTAAATTAATTAATAATTAATTTTAAAAATAAACATACTTTTTTAAAACATATAATATATAATATTATAAGGTATATATTTATAAAAAATAATTCATTTTTCCTATATAAAATGCAAAATACCGTAATAAATCGAGCTAATTGCACTAACCTGTGGCTAACTACCTTTTTAAGCTAAGTTCGCATAATTTTTTTCATTTTGGCACAGTGGTCTGTCTGGTCAACCGTAGGGAGGTTTGGGAATAGGATTGAAATTTGCGTAGCAGCTCGACTTCTCTTTTCGAGCCATATTATTAACTAAGAGGTAACTAGCTCAATTACATAGGTACAGATTACTTATGTAAGTTATGCAACTCGTTTATGTGGCTCGTGGCTGATGCTTACCTAAGGCAGCGTGTTTCCTTATTGTATTGTATAATCCGACATTCAGGCCACTGACCACGCGCCACACAGTCACACTATCGAACAGACTAGTATCATCAACTGATATTCCCCGATTGCGTGGTCCTCGTCTAAAAATGGAACAAGATGAAGGCAGCAGCGCTGACGTCGGGACAAGCTAAGACGATCGCCGCCAGGGCCCCTAAGAGGAACGACGACCGCGTCATTTTACACTTCGTAGGCCAATCTTTTAGCTTTTGTCTTCCTTCCAAGAACTACGGGCTAAGAGTTCATCTAGTCTCATTTCAGAAACAATCCACTAACTAGGACGTATAGGATTACGACTGCTTCTACGCCAGCGTTCTCGAGAATGCAAACCCGGGCCTCAAGGGTCAGCCGCTAGGCGTCAAGCAGAAGAGCATCCTAGCGACGTGCAACTACGCCGCACGTTCTCATGGCGTCAAGAAGCTAATGTCTATCTCTGAGGCCCACAAGATCTGTCCGGGCCTCGTTGTCCTTAGCGGTGAGGACCTGACGCCGTTTCGTGACGCCTCTAAGAGGCTTTGGTCCTTCCTGAGGAGCCACTCTTGGAGTGATCGTGCCGAGCGTCTGGGACTCGATGAGGTTTTCCTCGATGTTACTGATGTTATTGCGTATAATCAGGAGCTGCTGAACCGTAATGCCTTGCAAGACTCGTTCTTTCAGCTTTCTCGACACGACCCTGAAAAGGGGTTCAGTTTTGATGCTACGCAATTCTTCGGTTGCGTGCAGCCGTCGGTAGATCCGAAAGATTTGGTGTTGCTTCTGGATAATCCATTATGCGTTCGCTTATTGCTCGCATCTCACCTAGCCGGTTACTTGCGCCTCAAACTGGAGGAAGACTTCGGGTATACCTCCAGTGGGGGCATCTCAACCAACAAGACCCTCGCCAAACTCGCCGGTAGCGTGAATAAGCCCCAGAACCAAACCACGCTCCTCAATCTCCGTGACAATGACGTCCAGGACTTCATGGATGGCCACAAGCTGCGGCAGATCCCAGGCATCGGCTCTCGCATTGCACAGCTGATCCAAGACCACGTCCTATCCACAAAGACAACCCCAGACTCGCATGATCTAGAAATAGGAGCCAAGGTAACAGTCCGCGAAGTTCGACAGTTCCCATCCATGTCTGCGGACCTCCTAGAGCGGATCCTTGACCGTCCCGGCGCAGAGCGCGGTAGCGGCGAGAAAGTATGGAACTTCCTCCACGGCGTGGATAGTTCCGAGGTCAAGGAAGCAAGCGATGTGCCCACGCAGATCAGCATCGAGGACACATACATGGCGCGCCCACTAAACACTCCCTCCGAGCTCATGAGGGAGCTACAAGCTCTCGCGACATCTCTCGTCCGACGAATGCGCATCGATCTCGTCGTAGCAGATGATCCTGAGCCCTCAGATCCCGCATCGCAGCAAGACGGCCCGCAGCTACGCTGGGTCGCATACCCCAAGACTCTACGCCTATCCACACGCGCGCGCCCAAAGCCCAACGGCACTTCCACCCCCACGCCCGAGATCTTCAGCCGCAACTCCCGCAGCCAGCCGCTCCCCAGCTTCGCGCTAAACCTCAAAGACACAAGCGTCGATGCCGTAGCGGAGCGCTTAGCCTTCGAAGCCCTACTCCCATTATTCCGGCGTTTACACCCGGAGCGACAAGGGTGGAATCTGGCTCTGATCAACGTGTGTGTGGCGAATATGGTGATGGTAGCGGGACCCGGCGAAACGGGGAATGGTGCGGGAGCTGGAGCGGCGCGAGATATTGGGCGCATGTTCCGCACCCAGGAAGATAAGTTGCGCGAATGGACTGTTTACGATACCACAACTGTACAACCAGTCCTTGATACTACGTCTTCCTCTACGAATGTCGCGGATACCGTCGAGAGCATCCCTCAAGGTGAAGGGGAAGAGAAAGGGAAAGATACCCTTGAAGCTATGGAGGGATTAGAAGAAGCATCCGAACCGATAGCAGTCTTATTAGACTCAGACGTAGATGCTTGGGAGGACGAAGACGAGGATGAATCCCAGAGGTGTCATCTCTGCGGACACATTATCCCAATCTTCGCAATATCGGCGCACGAGAGGTTCCATAGCATTGGGGACTGACATAAACTTGCCAATTATTAGCGTTTGATCTTTATTTCATCTACTACTATAAGGTACCTGTTGGGTAGTTAGGTAGGTAGTTATCGATACCCCTTTTTGAATTGAACAAGATACCCCAACACACCAAACCGCTCCTACTCCTATATTCTTCATCCCCTCTCCTCTCTAAGGTAGTATAACAAACGTATATATATCCATCCACAACATATCGAACGTAGAAAATTAGTATTTAAACTTGTCTGGCAGTAGTGGTAAGAGGTATGCATGCAAATCGGCCGTAAACCTCATAACTTCATATTATCTTTCCTACGCCCTTTCTCACGAGAGAAGACAAATAACCCGCCTGTAAAAAAAGATCCAGTCTCTGCGGTCCATACCCATATAACAACTCCGGAGGTATCAATAAAATAACCGAAGCAATGCACCTGAACACAGTTTGAATCAAAATCAAAATACCACCGGAACCGCGGTCAACCTTCCTAGAAAAACTTTTCTCATCGCCCGGCTTGCTACGACCCGAAACAAAAGACCTAGCCAAGTTAAACTCCGGCGTAACAAAAAAGATCGCGAGCTCACTAAGTTCGTAGCTCCCCCGGCAGCTTGACCTCTGGCGCACTTATGAAAACACGATAGGGGAATCAACCGCAGACAGAACTATAATCGCTCCATCTCCTCGTTGCCTTTCAATAGAGCTTCGAGCCATTCCCCCGCTATCGAGAGCATGGTACTCTTACTATAGCCGCCTCCCCTAAGATTTGGAACAATCTCGCTCAGGTCGTCAAACCCTTCTTTTATTGCACCTCTTCTTTTTTGTTCACTCTTGATATGATTTTCTCTCTTCTGAGCATCCGTAAGATTTTCTCGTGCCGCTTTCGCTGCGCTTATAGTAGATTTCCTCCGTTTTCCGGGCGCCTCTTGGCCTGTCGAAGATGCATCTGACGTTCCTCTTAGGTCTGCTTTCGATTTGCGCTTCCTTGCTACGGACTTCGGTGGTATAGACGATAAGTCTTCCGCCTCTTCCTCAATTTCTTCCTTTGCCTTGCTCTTGCTCTTGCGTCGCTTTGCGCGCGGACATTCTCCGTCAAGTTCTTCTTTAACGTGACTATTCGTATTACTATCACGCAAAGGATTGGTCGAACTTTCCCCGTTATCTACGGGGGTTGGGGGTCTAGTCGTCGCTGCACTTTCACTAATTGAGAGAACTTTTAAAACGCCTAATCGCTTCTGTTCAAGCAGCTCGTTGGATTCATGCTCGGGTGGAATGTAGCCTTGGGCTCTGGCAAAGTTCGAGTCGGAACCCCACTGTAGCTCGGGTGGCTCAATCGGTCGTTGGCTTGGTAGCCCCTGAGAGGTTCCGAACATCATGTCCGTAAAGAGCGTATCGGCCTCGCAAGGCAAGACGTGCCTAGGCCGAATGGAGCTGTTCCGTTCGGGGCCAATATGGTTTCGAAACGATTGTTTTACTTGATCGACGGCGGTTCCATGTTGGGAGGGTACAATAGGTGTACGATTTATGCCATTGGCACCGGATAGATACCCATTCTGGTGACCATGGTGAAGGGACGTTAAGACAGCGGCCACGTCGGCATGGGTGTTCTGCTCGATCGGTGTATGGGGAGCTGGTGTGCTGTGGTGTTGATGCTGAAGTTGTGGGGGAAGTTGAAGGTGTAGAGGCGGTGGCGGCAGAGGTGGTACTGGCGGCGGCATCATATTTTGGCCAAAAGTAAACACGTCTTGATATGTAGTTGCGGGCATTCCGTTCATGGAAGAACATGACGGCTGCTGCGGTTGCTGCCCGAAGGACGTCGTATGACCTAGGAAAGCTGGTGGAAGTTGGCTTATCCATTGGTCACTAAAGTTGAGGCCTTCGCCGTACGATGTGGGATATTGGTTGGACGTCATACCCTCGAAAAAAATATTTAATATTCTAGAGTCGTCGTTACTGAGTAAAGGGTCTCCCGGGGGAGGCGTAGGGGCTCTAAGAGGTAGGAAGTCTTCGGAAACATGATCTATCGAAGAGTTAGTTTGCTGATACCGGGTTGTATATGAACACGGCGAGAGACGTACAGCCAAACGGCGCATTGCCGTCAGGCGGTTGCGAAGAACCCATTTTGGGACGTTGTATACACGCGGCGCTCATGGGTGCTTCTGGTCGGTTTGGCCGTGAAACTAGAGGTGTATGCAAATACGTTCGGATCAAAATAGAGTGATAGAGCTTGAAGCGGAAGGCGTAAGTCGTGTTTCGTTCTATGTTCTAGTAGTACTCGCGAGAGATTCGTGACGGTCGCATAGAAGTTTACGAAGTAGGCGTGGTGTGTATGTCGTGACTTCACAGGCATACGTAATATAGAGAGGGTCTGTTAAGATAGTATAATTCGTAGAATATCATGTGTATCAGAGCGGGGAGAATCGGCTTGGTATATGGAGTGGTTATGGTATAATTAATTGTCGTTTAACAAAATGTGGTTCAACGTCGCGACAAGGCTGTTCGATTGCAAGGCGGATCAATGGTTAAAAAAGGAATTGTAGCGGAGTCAGAGAAATCATGTACATGGTCGGGCTGGGATTATTTCTTATGGTGGCCCTTTAAGTGTAAGGATAGAGGATGGAGTCGATATTGATTAAACTAGAAGAGTAGTATCTCCAGCCGTCGGGTCGTTCAAGCTTTTGGGATGATCGGCAATGCTCCATGGATACCTAAAGGTAGGTAGGTAGGTAGGTAGCATAGAAAGGTAGATTGGGTGAATATCGAGTTGGGATCGGCTAAGGTAGGTGGAGAGTGGCAGATTTTGTAGATGTAGCTGATGCGGCCCAGTGGCTTTTGATAGTAATCTAGGTACTATGTAGTTGGAAGTCTGAAAGTCAACGGCTCGGCCTCTGGCGTGGTTTTGTGCATGTGTAATGTTGCAACTAAGGGAAAGACGCTTAAAAGATGGTGTAACACGTCCAAAAGTACATGTAATTGGACAGTAATTGGACGAAGGGGAAGGAATGATGAGCAGGAAATATCCGGAGTCGGCCACTATTCGCTAGAGAAAACCGAGTAATCGATTAGAGAAACCACCGTCACCATTAGCAGTCACCTAATAGCAGTCACCTGCCAACAATAAGTACAGGTAGTAATTGTAGCAAGCACCAAGTAACGAGTAAGGAGCAAGCTCAACAAGCCACCTTCTTTTCTATAATTTTTTTTCGTCTCTTGCCTTTTTCTTTCCTTCCACACTAAACTAATATGAGGCATGGCTGGGCATCCATGCTTACATGCATAACTAGTACATTAATAGTACGGAATTAAGTACCGGTAGTAATCCGTAAAATGAGATGAGGGGTAGAAGAGGAGAACTTGAAGCTATGAGTCTATCGATGATCTGCCCTTTCATTGGCCCATTGACACTTACAACTGGTAAGTTACAAGTTGGAATATTGACATAGGACTATGTCTGATACTATGTAGGAGGCTAGGAGTCGCTTTTCTCTACAACAAAGACTATTTTAGTGATTTAATCGCACTTTCTCAATTGGTAATAGGTCACGGTATATTGCTTGAGTCTAAATTAGTGCTGAGCTCTTCCCCACGCTCCGTTCTTGAAAAACATCGAAACATCGAATGTACGGATTACCTACCTGGGCATGTAGGCAATGTAGGCAAGAACGGGGTAAGGTGCCTTCAGTGTTCTTACACAGCATCATAGCCGAGGTGTCTGGGTACAGCAATAATTTCCCTTGCAGTTGCCTTTCAATGCAAGTTTACAATGTACATACATGTAGGACAGCTTATGTATGTACAAAGTTACTTAGGTACCTAGATACTTATGCTTGACTCGAGTTGCTGCCGCATTGCATGGACGTCTCTTGACATTCAGACATCCAAGTTATTCTTAGCTTGGCAGGGGAAACGCCCCGAGGCTCAATCACATGTCAATTTATTTCTCTTGGAGCATCCAGCTTCTTCAAGGTAGTAGAACTAGACACGGGTCCACGGGTCGAAATATTATGGTCTAAGAATTAATCCTGACATCGCCGAGTCAAGTCAAGCTGTTCTTCTCAAAAAGAACGACGCAGAATATTCCGCTACAAGTTAACCCATCATCCAATTGCCACATTGTTGTCGGCTTACACGCTATATTCCCGGCGCTCCTCATGAGCGTTTACGTCCGTACCATGCCTTGTTTGCAGATTACGTAGAATTATTGTATGTATAATATTTCTATCATCCCACCACCCTATCTGCCTATACGCAGGATAATCAAGTCCACCGTGGTCATTGTTGTTGCAGTAGCAAACGCGCTCGTCACAAATCAAGCCGGTAGCACGTCGCCCAAGATGTCTTTCCATCCTTAAACCGAATTCTAAATGCGAATACTCGGCCGAGATAGTGTTGGACGATCCCAGATCTTGACCCCAAAACTCCGGGGTTCGCCCAGTACAAGAAATATTCGGTGACCTATTTGGTTACTAACTTGTGCTTCTTTAGGCCAGTTTACGTTCCTTTTATTGATTCAACTTTTACGGCTTTATATGATCGCTACAGCTCGCAGCGCAGATTACATGCATGCATGAACTTCACTCCAGTTTTATAATTTGTATGTGGCTCATTCAAGATATTCCTCTGAAACTACGTCTCCAACAAGCAGATCTGCCCGTTTTATTTCTTCGGGCAGCATCGCCAATGCACCTCGGCTGAATCGCCAAAAGAGACTAACGAGCCAACCTTACATTTAGCAGTGTTCGCTATACGGCATGGTGCGGCTTTGCTTCATTAGCTAGCTCATTACACGGTCTATTAGTTAAGTCAATTACCTCATGGTCGTTCTTCTAGTATCGATATTTCTCTTCGGCGCGCTTAGCTTCCGCATTTTCTCATTAGACCCGGTTCCCGGTTCCCGGTTACTTATTGCGCCAATCGACATAGACAACATAGACTAGATGTCAACTGTCTTAACAAGCCGTTCTCCGGAAGCTACTCACATATCTAAAACACCGACGCGGGAGCTCATATCCCTCCGAATGCAAACCCGGTTGCTCGACCCCTTGCCAGGTATTAGACCAAAAACAAACTATCTTGATTAAAGCCTTTCATTCTGAGCTAGCAGCACATCTCAACAATTATAAGAGCATAGCAAAACTACCTATTTTAACCTATTCTTTTCATGGGTAAATTCATAAGTATAAACCGACGCTAAGACCTTTCGTCCACAAGTCGCGGTGTCGCGTAATCCAACGCGTTAGTCGTGAGCGTTGTAACGATGACATCGTCTCTACTTCCACCAAGAAGCCGAAAGAGACTGGATCAATCTATACCACCCCTCCTAAGACCTCTTATTCGGGCCTATGTCTTAGGCTACACTTCCACTGTTGCACCAAGGCTCCTCACGTTGATTCTCCAGCATGTAACTAGAAGGGGGAGAGACAAGGGTGTTGCCACTGTCACACAACCCCACGACTCCTTCATCTCATCCCTGCAACGTATCGTGCGTGGGGGACTAGAACTTCAAAGATTTCCGACTTTCTGTGCGGCCCTCGTAGGCGGAACTACGTTACTAGAGGCAAGACTTCCCACAACTACCTCATACCTGCTCGAGTGATGTCTATAGACAGTGCCACTATAAAAAATTAAAAATACCTAAGGCTAACTTTCTCGTTGAAGGTTTTACTTAGCAGAGCATTGAGTCGTCTATGGGAGGGCCAGCTCCCTACCCCGATCCTAAAAAGGCAAGTCCGGAGCTCTATGACAACTATGTATGAATGTTTCATTGGGGAAGCTTGGCATCAGCATACTGCCTTAGCGCATATCCCAACCCATCATCACTTGAGACGTCCAACTAACCTTCATTCAACTAGACTTTCAAGATGGTTATCGACATTCGTTGCGGCCTGGCTCAGCCTCCGGTTACTGCAGTCAAAGAAGAGCGATAGCTTCTCAGAAACGATCACTATCAACCCAGATGATCCGCAAACCGTCAAGCAAGAAACGGTACGGTATGCTGGACGAACTCTAGACTTGACCTTGTTCGCAGTTACCAGAGCTCTTGATGTGATAGTCAGTGAGGCATGGTCCCGGAGAGGACAACGCAGGGTTGCCACCAGCCAATGGACTTGGGTACGAAAAAGCTGTTGTTAAGCTAACAGAGGCATGCATCGCTAATAGTTCTTAGGTTGAATCTTTGATATCGAAGTTAGCTGACCCAACTATCTTCGCCACTTCTTCTGCCCTTATTATGTGGGCGTGGTTTTACTCACCTTCACAACTACCTAAAACATACACGAAATGGATCAACTCGGCCGCAGCGGTAGACTCCCGCCTTATTGAAGCACTTCGGCGTTTCCATAAAGGGGAGCTTCGATACGGTGAGGAAACGGGACAAGCGCCGCTCCTCCAATCAATGTGCGTAGACTATAAATGGCCGCCGGCGTGGGGCGATCCTGCCAAATCCATCCCGTTTCCGTGCGAAATCGTGCATATGGGTTGCGGGCCGTCTTGCGAATACCACGCCCTATCCCGTTTCTACCGATCCTTCAAGTGGTCTATGATGACGTATCTACCCCTAAACTTACTAGCCCGGAAGAAGAACCTTGAGGGGTTTCGAACCGCACTTCTATCCGCAGCACGCTCGTCGTCATTCCTAGCCGTATTTATTACCCTTTTCTACTACGGAGTGTGCCTAGCGCGAACGAGGTTTGGCCCGCACATCGTCGGGAAAGATACGCAGTCTAGACAAATTATCGACGGGGGTGTCTGCGTCGGAACTGGCTGTTTCCTGTGCGGATGGAGCGTCCTCGTAGAGAAAGCCGCCCGCAGAAAAGAGCTAGCACTTTTCGTTGCGCCCAGAGCTATGGCAACGCTCTTACCGAGGCGGTATTCCCTTGACAAGCAGTGGAGGGAGACACTCGTCTTCGCTTTTAGTACAGCGGTGGTGTTCACGTCCGTAAAAGAAAATCGGGGGAGCGTACACGGTATGTTTGGGAAATTCCTAGTGGCGGTTTTAGAGCCATGACGGGTTATTCGGCACCCATCTAGCTTTGGAGGCTCTTATTATTTTTATTTAAATGTTGTAATATTACCCGACTAAGGGGGTGATGTACTTCTAAGGCAATATTGCATTGGGTAGAGGAAAAGCATCAAATGGAATACATGGAGCTTAAAAGGGGGGCATAGCACATTGTACAACTAATTCAACTACGACAGTCGTATTTAATCTATCCAGAGGGGGGAAATAAGCTCCACGAGAGGGAATGATCACGAAGAAAAAAGGAATTGAACTGGACTTACAAATGATTTTAGTAGTTACCTAGGTAATGAAGGACTCAAGAAGTAATTTCAGATCTACCACTTTACCACCTCGTCACCCAGTTCGTGGAAATCCCAACTACTACTACCCCTTCGCGGGAGATCTTCTACACAACAGACGACTTAACGTCTCTAACCTGCCCAGTCTCACGAGGCGTTACAAGGCTGAAATAATATAATCACCATCTGGTAATCAACACAGTGGTATTATATAGATGTAGACATTGCTGTATGCATACTTGATACAATATCTACATAAAGTAGGATCAAACACCGTAACATCGACGTGGGAAAACAAGTAGGCATGCTATGATACCAACCCAACGTCGCCATTTAAAGGAGCCAGTCAACACCATTCCAGTGTCCTTCCACACACGATATCATGTCGTATTACTACCCACCGCACAACAAAGTACGGTTCTCATCATCTATGCCATAATCCCCATCCCAACAATCATCACTCAAACCTAGACCCCCCCCCCCCCATACTCCCCACCCTCACGATCTCAACCACGAACAAACCCCCAGCACAAACACACAAACCAGCGCATCGCTCCTAACCGTGCTCAGCATCTGCCAATAGCGCAGCGCATGCTGTGTATACGTCCTCGCGCGCCCGGGCAAAAACCCGCTCGCAGTCCACACCCAGCCCTTGGGCGGTTCCCGCCCTTTCTCCAAGAAATACCGCGTCGTCAGCAATAATGCCTCGACCGACGCAAACACGGTGAAGAAATACGCGCGCGCGCGCTCTACGCTGTCTGTATCCGCGCCGTCGGTAGTGGTGGTGGTGGTGGTGGTGGTGTTGATGGCCGAGTGCTCGCGCTCCGTAAGCGTGCCGGAGAAGGTGGTGGATAGCGCGACGTAGAGGCCTAGGCCGAGCGCGAATACGGCGTGGAGAATGCGCCAGAGGTTGGCGCTTTTGTCGAGTGGGGGTTGTTGCGCTTGTTGCGTGGGGTTACTGGGGCCGGCGCTGGCGTTGGGGTTCATGCCGCCTAGACTGCCGAGGAGACCCTCCATAGGCGTTCCGGCGAAGGGGTTACCGCCTGCGCCGCCGGACATGCCGTTGTTCATGATTTGAGAGAGCATCTTCATCATGGGGTCTTCGTCGGCGCCCTCCGCGCCGGGGATCGGCGGTAAGGGGCCGTCGAGCGGGTTCCGGCCCGGTTGGGGTGGGGTGGCGGAGGACTGGCGATCGAGGCCGAGGATCATCTGCCGCAGTTGAGCTTCGGAGATGTCGTTGGGTGGAGTGGCGCTTGGCGGCGGGCGAGCGGTTGTATTCGGCTCGTAGTAGTGCTGCGATATATCGACTTCGTCCGGGTCTCCATGCTGTTCTGAGGCCTGGGTGGGTTTCGTGATTGGAGTTGATGTAGTTGAGGTTTCTTGTGGCGTGCTAGTTCCTGACGACAGCTGTGGTACTGGATCTACGTATACCAATTAGATCACCGAGTATTCCATTGCAAGACTAAGAGTCCTACCTCGTTGTATACCTCCTCCTAGTCCTGTGATCTTGCTCAGTCGTGCGGCTGCTCCAGCTTTAATCTTAGCTTCTCGGCGTTCTTTGCGCAGGCGTGCTTGCTCTGCAGCTCGCGCCGCCGCCGGATCGTCTGTAGCCTGGGGATTTTCTGTCATTGTTTTAAGGAGAGAGTTGAGTGTTTGGTGTGAATACGTTGTCGTTAGGTTTAGATAGCTGCTGCGAGGCGAAAAGATGTAGAAGAAATATGCAAGGATGAGCTGAGTTGTACATAAAGGACAGAAAGAAGGACAGCTGGATCCAATAATTGACGTAGCAGCTGACATCGGTATGTACAAAGTACATAACTCGGGACTTTTATACATATCGATAACCTTATCGCTCGTTATAACAGGGGTAATGGTACAGGGATTCTTTTAGCTCTAAACGTCACTGGCTTGTTGCGACTAAAAATTTCTAAGAAAGATTTTGGTTGAAACTTTTTACTACGTTAGGTACCCTTCAGTCTTCCACATGCCATTATATTCTTCTCCCATTGTACGATAAGATGCACCGCGCCTTGTCGTCAAGATGGCTCAATACCGCACTTAACCTTGCAGAACACCCAAGAAGAATCGAGTTACCTTTGTTTTTATGTCCGTCCCTAAATCCTGCGTCGTATCACCAGAGACTTGGTTCTGCCGCATCGTCTTCTCGAGTACGACCTTCACGATGGAGGGTACAGCATCGTTGTCTGCACATGCAAGCTGATGCGTCTCTAGAAGACTCATCACTTCCTCCAAGTGGCTCTCAGAAAAATTATTCTATACAAAGGCTGCCAAAACAATGCCGGGGTTGTGGTGCCTTGTCGCAAACTACCTTTCCTAACCAACCTGGATATTATGATCTGAGTCGCAAAGCTGTTCGAAACTGGATCCGGCCTGAGGAGGTGAACCGTTCTCGCCGTGAGGATAAAGTCTACGAAGATGCGCTTAAGCACTTCGATCACGAGGAGCTGAAAAGGAAGGGGGTTGACGTGGAGGCGCTTATGCTAAGTATAGTTCCTCCAGAGGCAAACCAACGACCACCTCCAAAGGTACCCTTGTGCGATAGATGCCATTCATTACTGCATAATCATGCCGGAGAGTCGATATACCATCCTTCGATAGAATCTATCAGGGATACAATCCTCGAATCCCCATACAAATATAATCATGTCTACCATGTTCTCGACGCTGCCGACTTCCCTATGTCCCTACTACCGCAACTTTCGCATCTGCTCGACACCATGCCCCTGAGGACCAAGAACCGCCGTGCCAGTACGGGAAAGTTCTATGGTAATCAGAAGATGGAGCTAAGCTTCGTGATAACTAGATGCGATTTACTCGCGCCGACCAAAGTTCAGGTAGACAAGATGTTTCCATGGTTGCAGGAGGTGCTCCGGGAGGCTCTTGGACGGACGGGACGTAATGTGCGTCTAGGTAATCTAATAGCCCTTAGCGCAAAACGGAGTTGGTGGACCAAGGAGCTGAAGGAAGATGTATGGAAACGGGGTGGTGCTGGTTGGATGGTCGGCAAGGCAAATGTTGGCAAGAGTCAACTATTCGAAGCTATCTTTCCCAAGGGCAGAATGACTCTAACCCCTTCGAGACATCAAATTACGGTTGAAATGCACGCAAGGGCATCAAGCAAGGACGCAACTTCAATGGAGAAGGCCGGGACCCAGCCAGAACTAGCCCAGGAAGACTTGGCAGGTCGGGAGATAGAAGATATAGAGGAAGAGGAGCTTGATGAATACGCCCTTTTGCCGCCCGCAATCAAGGAGACTAATTACCCAGAAATGCCGCTAGTTTCCGATCTACCAGGGACGACAGCATCGCCAATCCGGATTCCGTTTGGTAACGGCCGAGGAGAGCTAATCGACCTTCCTGGTTTAGAACGCACTGGTCTTGAGAAGTATGTCAAGAAGGAACACCGCTTATCTTTGGTTATGCGCTCTCGAGTCATACCAGAACAAATGACGCTTACACCAGGTCGGTCCTTGCTTCTTGGTGGCTTCATCCGCATTACCCCGAGAGAGCCAGGACCAGTCATGTTAGCATATGCATTCACACCAATCGAAGCGCATGTTTCAAGGACGGAGAAGGCGATTGGAATCCAGAACCAGACAGGCGAGGTCAACGTTGAAAATATAGCAGTACCAGGGACTGGCGAGAAGACAAAACTAGCAGGCTCTTTCGAGCTCAAATGGGACGTAACAAAGAAACGGACTGGACCCTTAATGAGAAAAGATGCCGTCAACTTAAGTATAGACCGGCTACCGTACCGAGTTCTGTCTACTGACATCCTAATTGAAGGTGTGGGATGGGTAGAAATCACTGCTCAAGTGCGCACGAGGCATCTTTTCAAGGAAAGACAAGTGTCGGACACGCCGCCTGTTGAGGAACCCGAAGAGAAAAGGGAACTTTCAGCATTAGAAAGGCTAGAAGCTCTTGTCGAAGGTCCTAAAAAGAAGGCACCCCCTCCTCCCCCTGTTGAAGAGCAAGGCGAGAATGATGAACCTAACTGGCCTATCGTGGACGTGTATAGTCCCGAGGGCAAGTTTATCTCTTCTCGTAGGCCCATGAACGGTTGGATGTTAAACAAGCCGAAGGTTACTGCGGCGTCGAGGAGATCCCGGCCCCGAAGGAGTATGAAGGGTAGGAAGAAACTTGAGAAGAAGCGGAGGCGGGAGAGAGAGGCTACTGCTAGCTCTTCGTTTTGATATTATCATAGCTCACCTCTAACTATTATACGTGTAAAGGAAATAAACATGTACTATATAAAATACATGAACTGTATAAATCTTGTACCATGCGTGTATTAGGTAGTTTCATGTAGCTTTGAAGATGCAACTCTCTCTCTCTTTCTCACATGAAATCGACTTTTCAACTTTAAATCAATTAAGATGGGTCGGACCCTGAACCGGGGTCCTGGGTTAGGTGTGTACACTGTACAGTACATAAGATTTGATGAGTAAGCATACTACAACGCGGGGCAGTGGTGGGGTGATACTTTGAACGATAACAACCTGATTGTTTTCCCGGTTCATTTTGTTCATTTTGTCCATTTTCCCCACAACCTGACCTGCATCACTCCCATTGTCTAGAAACTTCAGGACTAAAATGCAACATTCCTTAGTTTACATGGTCAATACATTTGTTATACATAAATTGGGGGTTATATAAAGCTTAAGGCGGAAGAAGCCAATAATCTAAATTCCCTCTTCATTATTACTGGTTAACCCTCTTGACGGGTTACCCGTTTCTCCGTCTCGTGCTTCTAAAAGTGCCCACTCAGCTTTGTTATTCCAGTATTACCCCCAAGCTTTTTCTTATTACACATTACATATTACATATTACATAGTGTACCTCGTGCGCGACTTCCTGAGCTAGGGAGAGGACAGACAAGAGGTTGCGAAACAAAAAAGAAGCGGGGGAGAGAGTTGACGGCGGGGGGGCGAAAACAAATTAATACCTACGAAACTTTTTGGAGATTTTCTGAAATTCCGTATAATCGCTCATTCCAGAAAATCCAACCCGCCTGCATACAAAAGCGCGCACCCCTTGGGGCGTCCGGAACGTTACAGACAAGAACAAACAAACATACAAATAAAAAATAATAATACTGCCGAACAACTAGAAGCCCTAGAATCATATCGACTACGAGTGAAGCCGAGGAAGCAGGCAGTTGTTAATCCTTCGATAACCCTCGACCGTTCCAAGGCCTACACGTATGCATACATAGACGATCGTTACTCCTCCCTGCTCCGCAGAAATCTGCACGTAGGAGCAGCAGCAAAGCAGCAACGCGCCGCAGGTAACGTAGCGGAAACACGGATCCAGTATACCGTCTTCATTCGATATATCCCCCAACTTCGGTCGTAGGGAGAGAGGAGCAGTAAATACCAGGAAACGAGTCGTAGAAGTTTCTTGCTCGACCTACATACACACATACATCCATACATTATCTCTACCTACTCACCTCTTATTTATTATTCACCTACGGTTTCCCACCCCACTCCACTTATACGTACACACAGAAATACACGCGTAAACAATGTCTGCGCAAAATTCCCAGCGCGACCGCCCCCAGGGTTCCCAGACCCAGGTCCAGGCGGAAGCGCCCACCGGCTCCAGAACCCAGACCGGCACCCAGGCCCCGGCCTCGACAGCCCCCGCTATCCTGCGACTGCGCGGCGCACACCCGGCTTCCGATCACCGCGTCCAATGGGCCGAGTCCGTAGTTGATAATGAGGGACTAGGACGGAAGCGATCAAAAGGTAATTTTATATCCCTCATCCTTACTCTTCCTCTAAGCGCCCGATCCCGTGAATTTCAATTTTTCTAACGGATAGTGATAATAGTATGCTGCATATACCACCCGCCCAGCCAGGTAGGCGAGTCCTCCGACGAGTCCTCATCAGACGATGACTCGTCATCGTCGGACTCGGATTCAGACCGCGGCATGCAAGACGACCCCCGGGAGAGGGCGCTAGCAGCGCGACGGCGTCAACAACACGCCCATAATCACAATCACAATCACAATCACGACCACGACCACGACCATAACCATGGAAACGGAGGCGGAGGTGGAGGAGCCCAGCGCAGACGCAGACCGAGTCCTAACGCCTATGAGCGGCAACCGAAACCAAAGCCTAGATCTAATCCAGGAGGCAATGGTCGTAATTCGGGTAATCGAGGAAACCCTAGTGCCGGGGGCGGAACCCGATGAAGAAGAGCCTGACTTGAAGTCTAGCCTAGCCTACCAGGGCTTTCGCTTAAGACGACAGTTAAAAGGCTACCTACGCATTGGATACGATAAACGAGTACCGTAGTCCAGAAAACCAGGGCAGAAACCGCAAAGGCGAGGAAGATTGCAGCAGCTAGAAAGGGGTCAACCTCGCCGCTGGCCGAAGCAAAACGAAGTGAAGTATAAGAATCCCGGATCCGCGTTCTGAAAGGGGGTGAGGGGGGAAGGAGGGAAGAGGAGACAAATACAACGTTCTCATTCGGATAATCAGCCAATCATCAGTCCGGTCAACCTAATGCGAGGGACGGAGAGCAAATACATACGTGAGAGGAACTACTGTTGCTACTGGGGGAGTTAGGAACAGACAGGGAGTAGATAGGTAGTGAGTGAGTATCAAAGTCAAAGTATACCCATATCGTAGAAAAGGGGGGGGGGGAGGCTTGGCGCCGCAACAGCGAACACAAACACAACGACAGTTCAAGATAGTCGAATGAAAAAAAAAAAAAAAAAGGGTTACATGCAAATCATAGTCCAATTGAATAATTACGTGCATGCCGTGCCATATTACGCATAACTCACATCAACATCCACTCATCTTAGACCGCATGTCTGCCTTTCAGAGGTTCTTTCTGTAAATTGAACGCGATCTGCCTGCCTATCTCTGCAATAAGTCCAACGACATATTCAAGCTGGTCTTTTCCACAGTGATCCTTTCCACTTCTCTCCTCATCAACCTCTCCCTCTCACCATTTTCACCTTCTCCTTCATCTCTCTCCTCAACTATGCTAAGCCATCTTAGCTAGGTCGTCTAATAAGCAAATTTTAGCTAGACATTATTCCTCCTAACCCTTTCATTCGTCTAATGCTGTGAAAAAAAAGTCGCCATCAGATGCTAGTTCGGAACGGGAACGGAATATAGACGGCAATCTTGGGATCTCTTCTTTCTCGGATGAATACGACTCCGGGGACCTTCCGCTCGTCCCCTGTGTCCCCTATGTCCTCTCGCAGAGCTATAGTACATGACTGGGCTGGACTGAGAGCCCTCGGCCAGGTTAATATTACATTCTAGCAAGTTGCCGGATTCAACTTGTGGTTGTGGGCACGTAGTCGGCACAGCCAACTCGAGCTACTGAAATATTTAGGGAGAGTTAGGGATCAGCATGCTGGGGACCTGCTTCCTCATTACGCCTCTTCTGCGTTGTTCAGGATGCGGTACGCCTTGGATAGCACGAGGTTCCTTCATCAGTGAAGGGTCTAACCGAGCCGGCATTCTCGTTGTCACTGAATGATAATCCCCCTGAAACTTCGAGCTTGGTACAGGAACGCTGGCAGTTCTCCATATGTGATCAGATGTGTCTGTTAGAAAAGACGTTGGTTTCATGTGTCTGGATGGGATCTGCAGGCCGGGTAGGGATGCCGAGACGCCATGCGAGGCCCTTATCGTCGAGAGGCGTGATAATCCCGAAGACAGACTGGTTTTGCCGCGAGCTTTCTTGGCGAGAATTATGTCATCAAAAAGCCGAATCTCTGGGTTGGTAGCAGGCTTCGTCTCACGCTCATGGATAAATTCGTTAAATGCTAATGCATGATTAGTAAATACTATAAGATAAGAACTAAGAATAGTAACATACCTTGCGTCTCCTTCATCATCGCCACGTACTCTTGCTGGTCGTGCGGCAAGCTTTTGATGAAGCCGTTCATGTCGAATCCATAAAGTTGGCCGTTGTTCTTTTGTTCTTTTGTTGGCCGACCGAGATACTTGCGGTAAGTATAAAGGATGCTCGCAAGGCAACGAACGAAAGAAGCTCGGACCTTATCGGCATTGAAAGCAACTGGACACACGAGACAAACACATCCAAGACAACGTCCGTGGGAAATTGCTCCGCAACCAGAGCACTTGTACCATCCGTCACCTTCACAGCGCTCATCGCAAATCGTACAGGTTGAGGTTGTGTCGTTACCACTGTAGTTGAAGCAATGCCCCTCGACCCACATTGTAGAGTCAGTGTTCTCCACAGGCTGAACGAGCATGTTAGGCATCACCGTAGATGCTGCTAGGGTTGACTGGGCGTAGGTCGATGGAGCGTAACCACCATAAGATGACTGCGAATCGATCGAAATAGCTGAGATGGATAGGTTTGACTGATGGCCGTTAAAGAATGGCGCGTGAGGTCGGTGGACAGGGGCGTGGCCAAATGACGAACTGCGCCGGCCTTCCTTCTCGAAATGACCTGATCTCTTTTCCCTCAGCGTGGACGATAGTGCGTATCCAGAGTCGCTTCTGGATACTGGCGTAGCAGGCATAGGCGGGAAATTCACAGAGACGGGTGACACTGATGATGGAGGGCTGGTCTTGTTTGATTTGCTGGTGGTAGGCCGGTCCGCCCCAGGCTTTGCGTGCAAGAACGCATTAAACACAGGCGGCTTGACGGTATCTGCGGGCTCAGCTTCCCCAAAAGAAGACGAGTTCTGTGCGACCCATTTGTACAGCATACTTGGTGAGGCTTTCTCGTTGACAAGAGCACTATTCTCAACAGAGAAGGAGTCATAGGGGAAGGACTCAATTGCATAGGGAGGCGGCCCCGTCATGACGCCGTAACGCAAGCTATGCGGCGCCGCAAATTGCAAGAGTGAAAGAAGCTTCCGACGATGTTGCTTTGGGAGGCGGATTGGCAATGCCGTTGCATCAATCGTGTCCTTGTCGAGATCAACCAGGACGTAATCGTCATCTGGAAGCACAATATTGTCGTATCTTCGCTCAATGCCGACGATATAAGGGCAAGGTGCGTCAAGAGCAGATATAAGCCGTGCCGGTAGGATAGGTATGAAAATACTCGCCCAGGCTAATGGATACAATAAGCTAACCAGAGCGTGGGAGGCTAGGTGTAGCATCGCGGTATGCGAAGAGAGCAAGATAATCCGAGATTCCGACATGGCATACTCGAAAAGGGCGACAATATTCTCGAGGGAGAGACACCTGAATAGGGCATAAAGATCAGTATTGCGAGAACCCGGAAGCTCGTTGATGGCCTCCTTCCGCGCATATAGGCGTAGCTCGCGTACACCAATCTCAACCTGAGTCTTGGAGCCTAGAGGGCTGAATGCTTCAGTGCATAGGTTAACCACGTATCGTTCTAGTGGTTGCCAACGGCCAACTCGCGGAGAGCTTGGAGGTATGCGTAGAAGCCCGCCATCCGACATTGGCACAATGACAGCCCGAAGCCAATCCTTCCAGAAGCCCATTCTCGTAACATCTCTACCAAGAATGCCGTAGGCTCGAGGTGTCCAGAGGCCACTCTCACCAGCCGTCAAGCCGTCTATCTTCGACGCGGCACCATGTCTCAAGGGTCGCAACATTTCTGTCATCAGACTGATTTTCTCCTCAACCGCACTAATTTGATCATCAAGCGTCTCACGAGCGTGGGACCCAGATGGTATGGTCGGGAGCTTGGCAAGTAATTGCGATAGATGCGCACGTTCCGCAGCGAGACGTGCCCCAAGGCTGCCCGCAAGCTCCCTCTCCTCCTCAGACATATGCCTCTGCCTCCAACGCTCGCAACGTCTCTCGATATCCTCCGCCACATCCATCGTGAGTGCCGTCCATACAATAACGGTTACACCGTAGATCTTAGAGTTGTCATCCGATGTCATCGTGAACCCATGCCAAGTCGACCTCGGCCTGTCATCTGACGACACGATATGAATGTCATTGGGGAATGCAAACATAGGCACGTAATCTGGAAATCTCCCCCTCTTACTCAAACCTTCCATATTATCTCGGGGAGGGTACCGGTCTAGGAGCTCGGGTTCGAAGCGTCGCTTCAGAGGGTGCATATCCGGATCGAGGTTAAGAGGCTCGGGTGGAGGGATGACGGAGTTATAGCTACTCATTCTCCTTGTAGTCCGAATTGAAGCTAGTTTGCAGAAGTCAGTACAGAACGTCGAATCTTTGTTGCAGTTATGATCGAAAATTTCCGCAGGCAGTCCTTCCACCAGCTCATTTAAGAAAGTCCTTCGGTCTAGGTTGCGAAAAGGGGCCATACCAGGTCTCGGGGTTGTTGGCTGCTTTCGCACGCTGTTCATGTCCTTGAAGCTTATTTTCCGTCTTATGCTACCACGGATGCTCCCCCTGATGCTTTTCATAGGACTCATTCTTCCACTTGACTCATCAGCTTTTATCCTCTCTGCGCGCGGGTTCACCATCGGCGGCCGCGACTGCGTTTTGGCACCGGCCGAGAAGCTCAGATCCTCCAAGAAGTTTTCCCTTTCGGCTGCGAACTTAACGAGGGCCTTGTCGAAGTCGAAATCGCCGAGGAAGTTTTCATGGCCGGCGGCCGCAGGAAGAGGGATGGGCCTGATGGTGGCACTGCTTCTATTACTCCTCGTATTCCCATCTACTTCCTCGAGGGTATGGATCGAACTAGTAGATATCTTGGAGAGTCTGTTGTTAGAGTTTTGGCGGGAGTGTCGAGCATTAGTCTTATTAGCCGGAGAAGCGGCCGGGTCGGGCTGGTCCTCGTCGGGCTCGCAATCCTCGGTAATGGTGGCTTCTACCTGAGTGGCAGAAGCTGGAGGTGGGAGATCATGGTAGGACACGGATGCGACACCCGCAATCCAGAAGTAGTCCGCGAGCGGTGCCGAAGGGCTCTCCATGACATCTCAGGTCTATAGCTTTCCCCTTTTTTTTCTTAGTCCAAATTGAACAATGTTAAGTGAAAACCGTAATAAGGTTGGAGAAGTCAGACTAATTTTTAAAAGCAAGCTTGCCAGGGGCACCCTAGATATTAATCAACAGGTTGAACTGCGTTAGTTTGTTCCTTTTTGTTTCTCAGACCCGGTTTGTGGGTATCGGTGGCTTGGATACCAGTGTCCGACACATATATTTTGTCGTACAAGCAAAGTAACAAGAGAAGTTGCGATTGAATGACTGGTCAGATATGACAAGGTACCTAGTGTTGAGCAGCAGGATCTATGCTGCGGGGCGTGCTCGAGGGGATGTCGATATATCGTCTTTACTGAAGCAAACTACCGTAATAGACCAAAGCCAAAACGGCCATTGACATGAGATGGGTATCGACAGATCAAATATTGGTTTTCACTTAACGACCTGTCAGTTAGTTGACCCGTTCTCCGAAAGGAGCTTGGTAGCCGAGAGAGACTTTTCAGTTGTCGTCCAGTGCCCCGGTCGTAATTTTTTCGACGGTTGTCTTGTTTTTCGGGCAGAAGCAGCCGATGTGCTGTTTATCTGCCCTCTTATTTTTTGCTTGGATCTATTTTGGCGCCGGGTAGACACGCACGATTTATTGGTATGCAATGCTTCCAAAACAGCCTTAGACAATCATGCAGTGCTTTAATGCAGCTGCATGCCCCTATGCGGCGTTATCGTTCGGGTGGGTGGACAACGGGATGCGGGCGGGCAGTTCGAGGTGTGTATGAGTTTGTTGGATTGGATGGGATGGAATAGGATGGGCGGATGAAATGGGAATTTGACTGGACAAGGAGGGAAAACAAGCTTCCCAAGCTGGCAGGCTGGGAGGCTGGCAGGCTGGTAGGCTGGTAGGTTGGATGAACTCCAAAAGGATGTGTGTTCAAGAAACGAGTGTTTTTGACAATGCAAAAGATCGATCCCCAGGTTCGTGGAGCGCTATGGAGCAACTTGGGAACCTCCAATGACGGACTAGTTAAACGAGTGGTCGTGGAAGAAGAAAACAAACCCAATACTACCTTGAATTAAACCCTTACATAGGTAGGTTTAGGTAGGTAAGTAGGAAGGGGCAGAGGGGCCTGCGTGGCATTGGATGTGGCACTTAGATGCGCGCGCAGTGAAGATGGTTGATGAACGAAATTAACGAAAAGATGCAGTTGGACAGTCGGGGGGCTACGTACCCGCTAACTAACCCCACCATCCTTTCCTATCCGGGTCTAGTTGTACATAGTGGGATTTTTTACGTATCACGTATCGCACAACATAGCTCCAGCGCCCAGGCCCTTGAACCCCTGTCCCGCCCCCTCTTACAGGCTTACAGGGGTAAAAGAGCACTGAGTAGACCCGACAGGGGAATTATGGGAGTACCGCTTTAGTTAGTCTGGCAGTTGGGAAAGCCACATTTTAGGGGGTTATCCGAATTGCCTGCGAGATATATTTTGTACCTAAGGCAACTGCATGCATACATATAGACCTGTAGGTTAGCAGTTTCCGATCCAAAGGTCATTGTACATATCATGTTACATGTATTTAATTGAATGTGTGAAGTTGTGGAAGGCTCGCGTCTATTCCGTAAACCTTTTTCACATCTGCTAATTTTTTTTTCTTTCATCAACATTGAACATTGAACATCTGAACCTCAAAAGGTAAGGTACCTGCATACAATATCAGGAGTCAGGTCCTCGAAAAGAAAAGACACCCTTGACTGGACAATTCACCAACGACAGACAGAATAGCATGGATGCTTGCCTCATGCGGTGAAACACTATCTTGAACAACACATCTTCAACAAGCTGTGCATTCGCACATACATCCAGCCCTTTCATCATCCGTTATCCTAACTATTGAAAAATATAACATTCTCTAGTGCACATCTTGAAACTACAAAATGATGAGCATGCAGCTATTATTAGCGAGATCGTTAGTACGTCTTTGTGCTACTACATCAGGCCGAATACCACCCATAGCTTAGGGCGTTAAGAGTTGTTAGAGACGAGACCAATTCTTTAGCCAGTATCCGGCGTCAAAGAAATACTCGCAACTACTGGTCCGGATATTTGGTATTGCGTACCTTGCAGATACATAGGCGAGGGCTACATATTAGTGCCTACAGTATCCGGACCGTTGCTTCTCAACGTCTTTCGTTCCCCTATTTTTAATATGTCCTTTCCTTTCTAAGTGGAGGGGAGACGTACTCAACTAATAAGGCTCGTCGGAGGAATTGGAGGAATATTCGCATGTAGGCATCTAATGGTTCCTGCATAGCCTACCATCCAGGGGCATTACACCCTTTTTTAACCCGTCTTGACGAGTTGAGAAATCTCCTCTACCCCTATTAGTCCCAGGTTGAAAGATACAGCTCGTATTTGAGCATCAGCAGAAACTTTTACATCGAAGACCACAGAAGGCCACTATCTATTTCGAGTATGGCCCGGCCTGTTATGTGGTCTTTCAGATGCAGACATACTCCACTAGATCCTGTCCGTGAGCCTGTGGGCTAGCGATGGTCTGCTTCTTTTCTAGGCTTGCTAGAAACTAGTGGCTAAGACATGCCCCATTATGGTACATACATAGGGGCCAGAGCTTCCTACATACATGTACATATCCAGGGGTTCATATCGAGATCATTAAGCAAAAAAGCTCACGGTCTTAGCCGGGATTAGCGCACGGTTACAATTGTCTGTGGTATTGGTTCCTTTCTATCTTTTTTCGAGGCTACTTCCAATCTACATGACCAAATACCCAGGCAAGACTAAGCACGATATATTATCAGCGACGCACCTCGCCCGATCTTGTCATCCAATCTGACCCAATAGATACGTGATTCTCGGGTAGAGAGTCAACGTGTCAGATCGACAATAATAAGGCGGCGGCAGCACTGATTCATATCGCCTAATTTATTCGGGTTACAGTCAGGCACATACCATATGGCCTCTGCCCCCCCGGTGAACAACATCCTATCAGTTAAAGCTAGTTAAAGCCGATGGCTATTTGACGCCGCTGCAGATATCCAGACGGAAATCGGCCAGTATTTGTTTCAGACGTGTGGAGTTTTGTCATGGATCTAGGTAGCGGCCAGGCTACACAGTAGACAGCCGAGAATATGGGAAGATGGGAAATCTATCAAGCCCTGTAGCACCCAGCTATTACTTTTTTCAGAAGTTGAAAGAGGGTGGTTGACCCCGAAAGCCGTGCCTATCAATCCAACCTTACAAACAACGGTGAGGTGACCGCTCTTCGCAGTTCCTGGTCCAGGTACGCCGATCCTAGGCGTTCCGCATACCGAATTCTTTTAGAACCTGTTTGGAACCTGTTTGGAGATATTCGGCTCTTAAGCTAAGCTTCCAAGCTTCCTCTTGTCCCGGACATCCAAGTGGGTTTCATATATACAGAAACATGAAATTCTGGGGTGGGAAAGTCGAGGACATGCAAATCTGAAGCTTGCCATGCTCTCGTCAGATAATTCCGATCCTTGTACCTGACCTTGTACCTGTCATCTTCTCACAGGATTTGCATTCGTGATTGGCAAGCTCGTGGGATCCTTGCAACCGTTCATGGAGGTCATGGAGGCCATGGAGGCACCAATCCACCTGATCCATGGATCCATGCTCACGTCCTTGTAACCTAGCATCAGGTACAGCATTGCTGTGCCGCACAAGTGACGTAGCTGGAACAAACGCTCGTCAGAGCGGGTTCGTAACTTACATAGCTGACTTGGTCACTTACATACTGACCTTCAGTTGAGGCTAGGTAACATTGTCACGCCATAACAGTCGAGTAGCGACCATGGCAATTTCGTTATTACGAGAAGCCTGTCAGCAATACGGGCCGTTAACCGCGTTGTTGAGCTGCCCGCGTATCACCTAAAGTTATGGCTATGTAGGTACGTTTGAAGTTGATCGCCAGCATTCAAACGGGGTTGTAATTCACGACTTCCAAAATAGGTCACACACTCCAAGCTATTCATCCTGCCTGTCTGCTCTCTACCTAATTAGTGATTGATCGACGGCCAAGCTTATACGGGATTATCGAGATCCTCTGGTCTTTCGCCTGTTCCGGAGATTCGGTTATCTGGTCGGCGCCCACTTCCAAGTCTGACGATGGACAACACTGGAATACCTCACTATAGAAGGATTCAATATTGTCCTGGTGTCCGATGAAACCTTGCGGACCAGAAGGGATACCTATTAGCAGCCGCACACTTAATAATAGCAATGAGCTCTTCCCCCCGCCAAAGGTAGCATCGCAGGAGTTTTCCGGGAATCCCCAAAACTTGCGAGGTTTGCTGCTGTATCAGGAATGGAATCATACAATTCATTCTTCAATATCGTCCCTAGAGGATGAGAGCGGCTCATCCGTTGCGCTTTGGCCTCGTAAATCCTTGCAGCTCGATTCTCTCTCTCTCTCTCGTCCGATATTTTTGAACGATTGTGATGGCGCTATTATTGTTAGAACCGGTTTGGTGCAGCCAGAAGATCGGCTTCTTCTTCACCGCTCATGAACTAGGACGCAAGACACTCTCTACGCCCGCCTACGTCCTCGCCAGGAAATAAAAACCCGAGTGTGCATGATGCATCTGCATGCGTACTTGGACTCGTGTATGCGTCGAGAGCTTAGCCCTAGGCACTCGGTACGTTTCCAGTTAGCCAATGGGATAGATACTAGGGTTCTCTAGGGTCTCTAGGGTCTCTAGGGTCTCTAGGGTCCCTCCAAGTCTGAGCGCCGCTGCCATCACGCCAGCTAGCTAATCCATGAGTCGATCTAAGGACGCGAACATGCGGCCGTTTTAGTGGCGCACATGGACGTGGTGTATGGTACGGTACGTATGTAGGCAGAACGGTGCTACGTAGGAGAATTTCTATCTGACAGCTCATTTTCCCAAATATCCGGATACGTGTAACTGGAGAAGCTTGCGTGTCGTCGCGAATATGCTACGATATTTCTGACATCGTAGTATATTATGCCCTGCATGCGGCTCTTAGGGTGGTAATTCTATGTAGTGTAGGTAGAAAAGACTAATTGGGAATACTTCATCGTTAATCGGGTAAAATGCTCAGATAGGTAATATAGGGAGGGGACTATTAGTTTGCAGGATCACCTCAACCCCAAAGACCCGAATTATGTATGCCATGACAGATATTGGCGACAATAAATCTTTCGGGTGCATGCTGGTAGAATGGCGATGACACGCTTATCCTGCATTGTCCTGCCACAAATATGTCGTGATCCCGATGTAGTTCAACCCACAAGTTTCATACTTCGTAAACCGCGTAGACGTCGCCCTGATAACTAGTCGTGTCCTATATATGTAGTGATACGAATACTATAGCCCACGGGTCGTTGCGGCCAAATATCGTAGTCCCTCTTCGCCGTGACCACCAGAGGCTACACTTGCAGCAAGTCCGTTCACATATCCCGTCGCCATCGTTACTTCATCGACCAGCCAGCCAGCCAGCCAACCCGCTCACTTGACAATCCTCGTGCCCAACTTCCCCGTAGACAAGAACCCCTTATTCCCCATCTCGCTCCGCCAGCTTATCCCCAACACCCCAAACACTATCCTCCCATCCTCATCAACCTCCAACTTCGTCCCGTCCGGCCCCGGCTCCTCCTCCACCACCACAAAGCAGCACTGCTCGACCTCCCCCGGATGCAGCACCGGCTTCCCTCCCCCACTACCCGCAACGTCCCAATTACAATCCTGGTACCGTAGCCCGGGCTCCAAGTCCAAGCCCACGCGGGACAGCTGCATGACGTCCTCGCTGCAGTTCTCAAGCTGCGCCTCCATCACCCATTTCCTCCTATCCCGCCCCTTCTTCTTCTTCTTCTTCTTCTCCTGCACATCCGACTGCGACGGCGGCGGCGGCGGCGCCACCAACGCCCCGACTTTGGTGCGCACGATCAGCGACCCCTTACATATGAACTGGTACAGCTTGCGGAAGGTGCGCGTGCGCCCCGAGGTTTCCGTCGCTTCGTAGTAACTCACCGTCACGGCGAGCACGTGGTTCCCCTCTTCCTTGAGGTCGAAGTTGACGATGCGCTGGAGCGTGTCGCCGGGCTCGAGATCTGTGCCTTTATTACCATGACTATGACTATGACCCTTGCCGTCCTCGGCGTCGGCGTTACTGTCGACGACGACGCCGTCGGCACCTAGCAGAGGCAATTTCAGCGCGGCGCTGGACCCGGGCGTTTTCATCTCGGCCTCGATGCGCACGTCGCGGGTGAATTTGCGCTTGGGCGGGTTCAGTGGGCTCATGGGGGCTAAGTTGGGTCCGGGTGGTGGTGCCGCGGCTGCGGGGAGTTCGCCTGGGAGCGGGACATCGTGGTTGGCGCAGAGCGTGCAGCTGAATGTCTCGCCGACGTATGCGGAGCCGAAAGATGGTGGTAACTGTAAGATCGGCGCGAGGAGGAATGGGTCTGGATTCGTATCGCCGTTTGTGCTGTAGGCGAGGGAGGCGGGGATCGGAGGTTCCTGCTGGGCTGATGCAGGTAGGGAGATAGGTGTTGGTAGAGGATGTTGGACTACGAGGGATGGCCTAGATAGTCTGGTTATAGTAATTTAATATTAGAACATATCGCCAACAAAGTAAGGACAATGTGTAGCGTTGATTACCTGAGGACCTTCAAGGAGACGGAATGAGGTTCCTTGGGATCTATCGATGGGTAGCGTTGGTGACTCATTGTGTAAGAAGTATTAAGGGGAGAGATTCATACATAAATGGCCCCTAAATGAACCCGGATATACCCCTGAGCTTGAGCATGAATCATTCACATGGCCATGGAATTAAGCTAGTAGAGTTAATGGAGTGTTGCGACTCTTCGACGGTCTAGATAAACTGACGTACATGGTCTTATCGATAAGCTGTATAACTACCTAATATCAAGCTTATGCTCCACTGAAGTACAGGCGTATCACATTGATGAATGAGAGGAGAGCTAATTTACATTGGTTTACCTACCCGCTCAAAAACAAAGAATGTGCTGTTCAGAGAGTAAATGTCAAATAATACTATCTAGACTGCTGTACGGGGCGAGCTACCTCTGATAGAGCCTTAAACCCCATTATGATGCCCCTTTTTGACCGCATTCTTGAATATCCCATTATCTCCTTAAGTACCATGAACCCCTCTATTAGGGTACAGAAGATACGTCCTATGGGCCTCCAAACTCAAGTCTTGATCATAGTCCAGGGGGAGGGGGAACCTAGACACGGCCAATTAGCTTGCATACACTAACATCTCTCGGTAAGATGACTTACAGCGCCATAGCTTCCAGCTCCAGGTGGTGGAGGAGGGGGAGGTGGTGCAGATCCTCCAGGAGGCGGTGGCGGAGGGGCTTCGCTAGGTGGAGGAGGTGGAGGGGAGACGGCAGCACCAGGAACTGGCGGTGTTGGTGAGCCTTGCTGAGCAGCTTGTGCAGCAGCATAGTAGTGCTGATAATACTGCACGTATCTAGAATGGCGTTAGCGATCTTGCATTTCCTCGTGGGCACATTACTTACGCTGCGTAACCACCGTATGCTGCATAGGGGTCTTGACCACCGTAGTACTGAGCGTATTGGGCAGCATAGTCGCTGTTAGCATTCTGTGGGCTGCCTTGACCAGGAGGTGCAGGGGAGGCCGAGCTTGCGGCAGGATTGGGCGAATTATTGTAACCACTGTATCCACCATAAGAGCCCGAGCCACTCGCTTGTCTATCTCCGTATCTGTCACCGCCGTAAGATCGTTCACCATAAGACCTTTCGCCGCCGTAACCACCACCATTACCATTATGGCCACCATGACCACCATAGTGCTGGCGCGGTGGTCGGCTCTTGAACTCTTCGTACTGCTCCTTAACATTGGTGATCAGGTCTTCACATAGCTCCTTGGCTTTCTCGACCATCTTAGGATCGGGACCACTACGTATATTGTTAGATAACTAGGACAGGAGAACGTGCACCATATACTTACGCAACATGAAGGTACATGTCGTCATCGCTTTCACGGTTAGTCGATGCTTCAAGGTAGCCTGACCCGCGTCCTTTGATTTGGACACGACATCCGGTCTCTTGTTGAATATGCTTCACGTAAGAGCCACCGTGTCCGACAATCTGCGCTCTAAGGTTAAAACCTCGAATCTCTTCGAGACCAATCGGGATTTTCGCCTCTGGCCATTTACGCTGCTCAACGTTAGTAAACGTCTACTATGGAAGAAGTATAATTAGCTGACCCTTCCAAACTCATCACGTTCGACTTGCTCCTGGTCTCTACGTCGGAACCGTCGCTCGTCAACCAGATTCGGGAGTTCTTGCTTCATCAATTCTTCGATCTTGGCAACAGCAGCTTCCAGCCCTGTCTTGGAGGTGCTAGTGATGTGGAGGAACAAGGGGGGGTTCTAAGCTATCATTAGTCCCATGAGTTTTCCTAAGTTGATCGAGGAGTTTCTCTTACCGATGGCGTGGCCATGCTTTTATCCGGGTAATAATTGCCTCGGGTCGTGACATCTTTCAAAGTCAACTATGGTTCTAACAATAAATCAATAAACAGCTAGGAGGTATCGTACCAGCTCCGGTTTCTTCTTTAATCTAAATCAAGCAGCGGAGGTCAGCAGATGCCACAGAGGGGATTCGTGTGCGAGCTAGCACGCTTCCATGTAAGCAGAACTCTTCGCACACGATAATAATACACTGGAAAGGAACCACCAAGCTAGGACTGAAACTCTGGTGCAAATCAGTAGGAATTAACCAAGGGTATTATTTACCATCTTCTGTGTAGAACTCTTCGTAAGCAGATATCGGTTTCGCAGGTCGTTCACTTCGATATCCTTGATATAATCACCGTCGGCAATGTACATTTCGCCATTGATATTGTTGGAGTTGATGGCGCCCGGTGTGCTCTCAGCATTCGGACCGGGAGACGCTGACGACGCTGACTTGATCGGGGGTACGTCTACGTGCTGGATTCCTTTCTTCGCCTGGATCTGTGCATTGATCTTAGCGGCAGCGGCAGCTAGAGACGGACAGTTAGTTCGACGAAGTTATGAAGCTCCATTCCGGGGAATAAATACATACCTGCAGCAGCTGCCGGGTCGACAGGACTCTTCTTAGAGTCATGCGAGTTGTTTTCTCCATCCTTGCCCAATGGACTACGTTCGCGACCATCGCGACCGTGGTCAGACCTCTTCGCTGGTGGGGAACGCGACCTGCGATCGAATCGAGAACGGCGCGGCTCGGGTTCGGTCTGGTCGAACCGAGATCGTTTTGCGGTGCGTCGTTCCGTGTCGTCCATTTTTTTATAAATGTCGCGATGGTTGAGAAATGTTAAATTAAATCAAGTATCAGAGCTTACGGGAGCCTGCAATGGGATTATGCGCAGAAGGTAGAAAGATGCGCAACATATGCAGGAATTGTCGGTTTGGATAAAGAATGGAATGGTTGGTCAAAAATTAAAGTTGAATAAGGTATAGGCAGTAATTCTCGAGATTTCCGCCTAGCTTATTTAATGTTTGAATTAGACGGAACCGTAAGAAAGGGAATAAGCAATTAGGTATGGACGCGACGGAAAAGGGAACATACATAATCCGAACCCAGAAGTCTGGGCCGTGGATCCCGCCCGTTGTAACCAGGTTAAGGTGGGGTCAAGTACCTAACCTAACCTAAGGTTGCATAGAAATATGGGACATTAAGAGGTACATGTGTAACTCCGGGATTCGGAGCTACCCTAGATTATTTCGGTCATCTTCACCAGCCAACATTTTCATTGACATTTTTAATGGCCACAATTTTCCACTAAGTGGTGAGTCAAGTTGGTGGAAACTTTTACCAATTGAGCCCCGCCAGACTTCCGTCAGGCTTCGTGGACTGCCATTTTGATCAGAGGACTTCTTGAGTTCTCGTTTACGATCAGAAATCATGGCGTCCCGTACACTTGTTCAAGCCAATTGCTTCAAGGCTATCGCCGCAAGCGTACGAACCATTCCTCAGACTTCTTCAAGATGGAGCTCTAGTAGAAGTTCTACTTCGGCCATTGCCTACAAAGCTCTTCGTCGCCGTCAAGCTCCTCTCCCTACCAACGACATACCGTCATCATGGTCTGCGCAAGCAGCCGTCTCTAATATTCTCTACGAAACCCCGACACCCTCGATGGCCCCACCGAAACGTCATGTTCTCAACTGCTTAGTGCAGAACGAGCCTGGTGTCTTGTCCCGAGTTTCTGGTATTCTAGCAGCGCGCGGTTTCAACATCGACTCTCTAGTCGTGTGCAGTACCGAGGTTGAGGACCTCTCCCGCATGACAATTGTTCTTACCGGACAAGACGGCGTGGTTGAGCAGGCGCGACGGCAATTAGAGGATCTAGTACCCGTTTGGGCCGTCTTAGACTACACAAACGCCGCTCTAGTCCAAAGGGAATTGCTGCTTGCCAAGGTTAATATCTTGGGGCCGGAATACTTCGAGGAGTTGTTAGCGCATCACCGCGAAATTACAGCCGAGTCTGACCAAGCAGAGGCAGGTGACAGGAGTCTGGAAGATATCGCTGAAGACTTCCATCCCAGCAAAATGGTGGCCAGTCAGGCCCTGCGACTTAAGCATGAGCATCTTAAATCCATAACTTACTTTGCCCACCAGTTTGGAGGCAAGGTATTGGATATCAGCACAAGCAGCTGCATTGTTGAAGTGTAAGTAGTTTCATCGAACCACTAGAATTCATACTAATAGTCCATAGGTCTGCCAAGCCAGTCAGGATTGATTCATTCCTAAAACTGATTGCACCGTTCGGAATTCTAGAATCGTCCCGGACAGGTCTTATGGCATTGCCTCGATCACCTCTTTATGGCCCAGACGAGGAGACTATTGTTAAAGAGGCAGACGAGATCGTGGATGCTAGCCAGTTACCTCCTGGATAAACTGGCTGTCCGGCGGGGATTAGGCGTTGGTGGTCAGAAAAAATTTACACTGGCTTACTTTCATATTATTACTTTGTAGACAATGTCACATAAAGTGCGAACTACTTGAACCATTCTATACAGAGCCTGAAATTTTCTCATTGTGATCCCCCTTTTTGACCATGCCAACCGAAATTGATACACGTATCAGACTAGAAAGCATTTTGAACACCGCCTCATTTACCTCGAAGCTGTCAGATCAATCTCACATAAACCAGTATATGCTGCTCCGTAGTAGATAATGTTACCTTCTCCAGAACTACGCATAGGAAGTTGGGGATATTTCCCCGTTGTTTACCACGAACCCTTCGAGTGCCGCTATATAGGAGTCAGCATTGGGATGGACAAGTTTAGAAGGAGACGTCACTTACCAACAGCAGCCCAGAGCCTATTTTCTGCTTCGGGGAAGACGAGGGACCGGGGAGAATAGAAAACCTCATCGGCGACCTCCTCAGGGTGACGAGGTAAGCAATGCATAAATTTCCAGTCTGGCTTTGCTCCACCTCGCTTAGCCAGCTCGTTGTTAACCTGGAAACCAGCGAAATCTTTCAGTCGTTTCTTGGACTCCTCTTCTTGGCCCATGGAAATCCAGGTATCAGTTACTATGATATCAGCATCCTTCACAGCCTCCTCCGGAACATAAGTTTGGTTTAGAACACCTGGTGTGGATGCGGACTTGGCTTGACTTGTGATCAACTCTACTTTGTCCTGCGGGATGCTGTAACCCCGAGGCGTAGCGACTGATATCTCGACACCTAATTTTAGACAAGCGATGGCGAAGTCGAATAATACGTTGTTTGCGTCTCCAACCCAAGCCACCTTCAACCCCTTTGGTATGACACTCTCTGTAGGAGCCCTGGGAATGGACTCATGGATCGTAAGGAAATCAGCAATTATTTGAAGGGGATGGAAACCATTAGATAGCGCGTTGATGACCGGAACGCTCGAGTACTTTGCTAAGTCGGCAACATCACTATGAGGCCCGACCCGAGCCACCATGCAGGATGTCATGGATGAGATAACCTTGGACGTATCCTTCAACGACTCATTTACCTAGAGAATTAGTTGATTAGCTAGTAGCTCTCGCTGAATTGAGACACCCTGAATATACTCACTCCTAGTTGAATGTCGTTTTTCCCAAGGAACATAGGATGACCTCCTAACATAGCCACGGCAGCTTCCGTCGAGACTCTAGTACGGGTGCTTAGCTTGCTGAACATCATGGCCACCGTCTGCCCCGTTAACTTTCTGTTTAGGCCTGCCGGAATGCCTCCGGATTTCACGGCCTTTTTGTGAGCCGCGGCATTTAATACCAGTTGTGAAAATTCAGCACCCGTCAGATCGCTGATTGACATAAGATGTCGAACCCGGGTGGAGTAATTCCTTGTTGCATAGGGAAGTGCGCTTTTAGCTGACCGAAGAGCCGACGACCGCATCTTCGCAGTAACTCGATGTGCTTTTCTAATTATGGAGTATGTGTGTACTTGGGTCGAGTATATCGTTATCATCAACTATTGAGATTCCAGAAGTATGAGCCTGCCAAGGCGTAAAGCTCTTAGTGTAAGTGAAGATAGGCCAGCTCAGCTTTTAAGAAATTCGGTATTGATGAGGTGCGGTTTATGTACTATAAAAGAATGAGATGTCTGTATAATGACCGTGAAGCTTATAAAAAGTTCGATTCAATGTCCGAAGCAAGGTATTTTTAGTTGCTTCATCTAAGAGTCACGAGAAAAGAGTCATTATTGAATCTGCTCTTCGTCGTGACACCAGCGCAACTTTGTGGAGATATCGAAATATCGAGATATCGAGATATCGAGATATCGAGATACGATAGGACAAACAGGTGTCTGTCAGCTGGCCGATTTCGGGAAGTTGTACAGTACCTGTTTACATATGTAGTACCTGCAGGCGCCCTGGCAGGGTTGCCCTGCAGGCTTTCCCCGGACTACATACACTTTATGCTGGACCGTTAGTGTCCCTTTTCTTTAATTGGCTTTAACGGCCGGAAGGTTGAGTTGGCTTCGCCCCAGTACCTGCCCAGCCGAAGGGCCTCGTTTCAGCTAGTGTGGACCATCGAGTTGTCCGTTGATGACGACTACTCCACCCCTTCCCAGTTCATACCCATAACCTTATTCTCTTCTACAAACGTACTTCATTGACATCAATTTAACCGTCTTACAATACATCACTATACATCACTAGTCGTAGTCTATCAAATATACCACATTTCTAGACTCGATGATGCCTACACCATTCTGCTAGTTAGCACTTATTCATTAACTACCCGCGATTGATCTATTGTTAAAATAGTGATCCGTCAATATCACCCCAGCCGTCATCATGTCGGAAGAAGAAGAAGCATCGCCTTTACTCTCGGCCGCGATGAAAGGAAAATTTAAGTACCACGAGCGGGAAGATTCCGGCGAGTCGACGCCGCTTCTCTCGAATTCAACAGCAACGCCACGTTACGATGGAGATGGAGATGGAGAAGAAGAGGAGCATCATGTAGATAGTGAAGATTCGAGTCCAGCTCACCCCACCGATGCGTCCCCCGCTTCCAGTTTGACTAAGAAGTCTAGAAGATGGGCGTCATTTATCGCGATGTTCATACTAGCAGCGCTCATCGTCGTCATCATTGTTCTCGCCTTCGTCGTTCCCCAGGCTATTCAAGAGTATGCTCAACAAGCCGCCGTTATTGAGCCTACCAACCTCTCCCTCGAATCTATTACGACAAACGGCGTTCGAGCTCGGGTACAAGCCAACTTTCATCTAGATGGGTCGAGAGTTAGCAGCAATCACGTGCGAAGAGTAGGAAGAGCCGTTACATGGGTGGCAGCTCAGCTTGAAAGCGAGCAGACGAAGGTCGATGTGCGCATTCCTAAATATGACAACGTGTTACTTGGAAGCGCAATCGTCCCGCCTCTATTGATTAACTTGCGGGATGGCGACGTAACACAGTTTGACATCGTCGCGGATATACTGCCGGGCGATCCAGAAGGCATTCGCATAATTGCGAATGAATGGTTCGAAGGCAGATTAGACGAACTGCGTCTAAACGGACAGGCTGATCTCAGTCTCAAATCTGGGATCTTCCCTCTAGGGACGCACGCCATCTCGGAATCGATTGTATTTGAAGGTCAATCACTCTACCGCTCCTTTGCTTCCCTCTACTTTGGGAAGAAGTCCTTATTCTAGCATATCCAGATAAAGCTAGGCATATAATTACTTAAACTATATACTAATTTTCTGAACAGCTAACAAAGTCCCTGCGATACCAAAATATAATATTACTCGTTTTAAAGTCGATGATGGCCCGATGAAGGGGACAATGCTAGCCGACGTAGCACTGGCGGCGTTCAACGAGTATCCGGTCGAACTTGATATTCCCGAGCTTGCGTTTGACATTTTAGTGCCCGGTTGCGCTAGTTCAGACCCCTTTATCCTAGTAGCGGAAGCGGCTACGAGCGAGGTTCATGTAGAACCACGCTCTGATGTCGTGGTCGATGTTAAAGGAGTTATCCGCGAATTACCTGACTCTTTGACTCACGTTTGCCCGGACTCTACTTCCTCACCTTTAGATAATATCCTTCGGCAATATATGCATGGCGATCCCGCTACACTATTCGTCCGTGGGAGTCGTCATCCTGATGGCGACACGCCGAAGTGGATTGCAGACATACTTTCTAGCGTAACAGTACCTGTCCCGTTTCCCGGGCGTACCTTAGACGGTCTACTTAGGAACTTCTCCTTGACTGATGTCAATTTTGCTCTACCTGATCCCGGCGCCCCAGACTCCAACCCGACAGTTTCAGGAACCATTTTAGTTACCGCAAGCATTCCTTCCGATATGAACTTTGGTATAGACGTGACGAACGTTCGCGCTACGGCGGACGTGCTTTACAAGTCGAAGAAAATGGGAGAACTAAACATACGAGAATGGCAACACGCTAATTCCACTAGGGTTGAAGGCGAGGGAGACGAAGGGCCTATGCTCAAAATCCAATCCCGCGTTATCGATGCGCCCCTCAACATCACCGACAGTACGGTCTTTGCCAAAGTTGTCAGTGCCTTATTATTTGGCATCGAGCCGGTCCGTTTACATGTTGACGCTCTGGTGGATATCAAGGTGCAAACCACGTTAGGAAACCTTACTCTAAAGGAGGTTCCCGCGGAGGGCAAAATTCCAGTAAAACGTCCGTCTTCGCTATCCTAATCTGTTAGTCGCTCTCAGATAATCCGCCCAGTAGGGCGGCTCGTTCTTAGAGGTGCAATTCCTTGCCCTTCCGCCAATCCCGTACATAGTAGCATGTGCTAACTTACCCTCAGCCCTTCCCAAGGGTGCTATTGGCAGTATCGAACCAAAGGTCGGGTCTCTCAGGGTTTTGGACACGACAATAGACTCGATAACGTTGCAAGCCTTAGTCAATGTTACCAATCCGACGTTCTATACAGCTCATGTACCATATGCGAACATCCACGTTCTAAGCAATGGTTCGATCATCGGGAGCGCTACAGTAGAGGATCTATATATCGACAAAGGTCCAAACTCCAACATACTTGTCACCGCAAAATGGAATCCACCAATGGGTGGCGCCCACGGTCGAAAAGTTGGGCGGGAACTAATATCACAGTACCTGTCAGGCTGGAACACGAGCATCACTGTAAAGCCACATCGAAATAGCATTCCAGGCCAACCCATCATCTGCGAAGCCTTATCAAAATTTAATATGACCCTCGCCGCTCCCAAGCTGAGTTTGCCTGGGGATACCCCTGAAGAGAGGACTCACTTCATTAGAGATGCTACTTTCCACGTCTTTTCATCGACGGCTACATTTACTCTTGTATCACCATTGCATTACAACACATTATATCTAGATTTTGTCAACGCTACCGCGTTATATAATCACACCGAGCCGGTAGGGCAGATCGTCTACGACTTGCCGTTCTCGGCACCACCTGGAAAATCCCAAACGCCGAAACTACCAGTAACGTGGTCCCTGGACTCGGTTGGCTACGATGCTGTGAAGAAAGCGATAGGCGGAAAGCTCAAGCTGGATGCATATGCCAATGTAGAGGTGCGGCTGGGGAACTGGAAGGAATCGCTTTGGTATCAAGGTAAAGGGATTGGTGCGAGTGTACAGATATGATGATTTGACAAATTGCGGGTTGGCGTTAGGGAGTTAGGAAGGTTGAGAGACACTCAACCAGGAACAGCGTAATTGATTACTTGATTATCAAGACATAAGATGAGAATGATAGACTCAATACATATCATGTTGCTGATAATTTGCTCGAGAAACCCCAAGGGACTATGACTTGGTTTGAAGTGGTGATTTGACGTTCAGCATGGTTAACATCCTACGAATGAATAGAAGACTATAAATCTAGCTATGCAGTTTTAATTCTAATATTCCCTCATCGTCATGATAAGTGAGGCCTTCAACTTCAAAGATTGGAGAAGTTAGATGCTAGATGTAATTGATGACTAAGGGGGTATGACATAATTTTATATATCGATCGGCCTTGAGCTTGAACCCAGAAGCTTCACCTCAATTATCTTCAACAATATCAGCTACAAATCTAGAACTGAGGGCAAATTGATTAAACCGAGCCGGTTGAGATCCAGGGTTCGAAATAAAACTTGCGTTTGTTTATTCTTTTGTACCATGTCAAGATCTGGGTCCTAACTAGGTACCCAACCACCGGCGCCTCAGCTTAGCCACTCAGTTAAGCATATTTACTACTCATATTCACATCCAAATTTACACACTTACACCACACTACACTACGCGCAGACATACATAATGCCTAAGATGCCAAAGCTCTACTCGCCCTACGGCCCGCGGCCGAAGCGCTCGGCCCAGCTCATCGCCATCTGGATGGTGATCCTGGTGTTTGCGCTGATCGTGACGTTCTATCTTACGAGCAGGGAGCGCGGGGCGACGACTTCGTCGTATGCGGGTATGAGGCTGGCGGATGAGGTGGGTAAGGAGAAGGATGGGGTTAGGGGACGGAGGTGGGCGAAGGTGGTGCCGTGATTGTGATTGGGATACGGGCTGGGCGTGTTGGTGGGAGGTGTTAAATTTATGGTGAATTTTTTTCTTTCTATTGTGTAAGTTGAATTGTTTATAGAGGGAATTTGGGTTTAGGATATGCTTCGGTGGGAGAGCTGAGTATAAAAGATTTTTGGGGAGCTACGCTCGGTGGCAGAAGAACCTAACAGCTTTGCGTTTGCTTGGATATTTTCGCGATGAAATGAATGGGAAGAAAACGAAGGCAGGGGATAAAGGAATTGATAATGTTGAGGCAGTTGAAGAAACTGGCTAGTTACTCTATAATCAGAAAGATTGCGAAAGTATTAGGATAGATGTTGTCGCATTTAAAGCCATAGGCGTAACTTCAATAATTATCCATTCTTCTCAATGCCCAGACATTCATTTTCACATGCAAGACTTTCTTTTTGCAAGCTAAAATAGCACAGGCGGACCACTATGCTAATCAGCAACCAATAGTTTGCTCGCCTACGCACACCTACTAATATAATATGTACTAAGACGCCAAAAATCATGTCGCATTGAAAACAAGAATGACCATAAAAGTCCGGTATAGTGTAACGGCTAACATACCTCGTTTTCACCGAGGAGCTCGGGGTTCGATTCCCCGTACCGGAGATATTTTTATTTATTCATTACTATTTTTATTTTTATTTTCCCTTCAGTTCAGCATTGTAGTTTTTTTTTTATAGTAGGCTTGTCAATTTCAGTGAATGGTGGTGAATTGGAAACTTGAATCTCTATGCAGCCCAAGCACAAGCTTAAAAAGGCATTAACTATCTCCTAATTTGCTACAGTACACAACAGTAAAAGAGTCCTCCTGCAAGTAGCAAAGGTGCTATGTGACGTCACGTCAGTAAGCAGCTAACTATAAGCGATCAATGTTACATGCAAGTCTGTCATGCAAGTCTTCAATGCAAGTCTTCAATGCAAGTCGGTTTCGATACCATGCAAGGCCATAGGTTTCAATCGCATCATCACATCATCACATCATCAACACACTCAACAGTCAACACTCAACAGTCAACGCTCAGCACTCGTTTCTCTATGCATATAACATAAACTGCCATGCTAGGCCTCTTGTCATAAACATCATCCCTAATTCGGAGCCTTTTCAGTTACCATTAATTGTAGAACTCGTCCTCATCCTCAGAGTCCCCCTCCCCACACATTATTTCATTGTCCATCCATTCCTGAAAGCCCATGGTTGTAGAAGAATCCCTCCAACGGCACCATAACTCCTCACCAAGCTCGTAATCACCCATCGTCTCGAATTCATAGTTGTCTGGGTTGTACACCTCTCTTTCGTCGGGCTCATACTCAGACTCAGACTCAGACTCAGACTCAGACTCATTCTCAGCCGGATCAGTCCACCACCTATCAGGATCACACTCTTCTAAATGCCGTCTCCAGGCCGTGAAGGTGTCCTGGCTCCAGAACATTTGGCAAGAGAGGACCTTTTGCAGATCGGATTCGCAGAAGTAAAACTCTTCAAGGTCATTTGACTCAAAGAATTCTTTACGAGTGGTTAGATTGATCGCTTTCGGGTCCGGCTGGAATGGGGATTGGGCGAAGACCGTGTCCTCGTTTTCTAGAAACTCGTCAAAATGCTGATATCCCTCATGCTGTCCACCTCTTCTGGACTGGAAGCTGTGGAATGAGGAATGTAGGTTGGTTGTTCTGCTAGACCACTTGCATAACTGGATCAATCCAGCTTCTATTGAAAACACTCGGGCGAGGGAACGAGTTTCTGCATTGGAAAAATGCTCCCTCTCGATATCCCTGCCCCTAACACAACAGTTGGGCCCGTTGTATCCGAGAGCTGCCAGTTCCGATTAGTACACGCTACCTCATGGGGCTATATGTTGTGACACACCTTTGAATAGGCATTGCTCATAACTGTCAAACATGACTCTTGCCGCTTGCACTTCGACTTTAGAGAAAGCCGTCCAGTATGCGCGCTTCTTCTCCCCGAACGTCTCCTCATCTGAATCCTCTTCAGAGCCGTTGAAAAGATTTCTTGCCGTTTCTATCATGAAGCATGCTCGCAGCTCTCGCGCATATTCCGCTGGCGTCGAGTCACCACTGGGATAGCGAAATGGATAAGGATTTCTTTCAAGTTTTGTCATCATGACCGTCTCCGCCGCCTCGATGAGATCCGGTAAAGCAGAAGCCACTTCCATACTTTTGTACGTGTATGGATAGTCGCCCTCATGTGAGATGTATTTCTCGATGAACTCCTCCACATCATCTTCGTCGAACATGCGGGAGGCGACGGCCATGATTCCGAGCTTTCGGACGGAAGGGGGCAGCATATTGTCGATCCACGTGCACGCGATAAACTGCTCGTTCTGTCGGCTTATCGCTCTTGCTTGTCTGCACGTGGCCGCTGCTGCCTTGAAATCTTTCCAAGTGGCCATGTTGGCGAAGACCATGCATACGACCTCCTTGGGTAAGCGGTAGAAGGGGTTCGTTCGGTTTGCATTGCGGCTGGGGATAAGATCCAAGGTAAATTCTAATAGATGATTAGCATTATTATATCCAAGGTAGACAGCAATGGAGACAAGGTTTGTAAGAAATCAGTCCGAATAGAAGGTTATCAGAACCATGGTGAGTCATGGCATTCTCCAAACTTATCGAAAGGTAGGTGATGAATGTGAGTAGTGAAAGAGAGAATGGCTTACCGGGTAGGAGAGATCGGGGCTGCTGAGTGGCCGACATCTTGTATGCTGTTCGACTGTAAATAGGCTATAGAGCACGACGAGCCTAGGAGTAGTGTTTAGTAATAAAGAAGAATAAGATGTAGTAGTAAAGCGAGCATCTTCGCATCATAGCAAACGAGGGTTTTGAGGAATAGGTAACACGGGCGGAAGAAGACATTCGGTTTGATGAATGTAGATAAGAGATGACATAGTAGTGGGTGATAATAGCAATGGTAGCGACAGTATATGATAGAATGGTAGTGGAAGGAATTCTGTGGTAGGGTGCAATCATGCTACTTATATAGTAGAGCCAGACATTCATGATGATGGTGATGATGAGGGTAGGTGAGGGCAGGTCAAGATAGGTCAAGGTAGATCAGGGTAAGGATGTGGTATCAAGAGCGGCAGCAATAGAGCAGAGGGATAGGGATATATAGTGCGCAGAGCTACTCACAGGTAAGGCTGTATGAAGAACGAAGGTCCTCTATGGTGAAGACGTGTTATTGAAACGAAACCGAGAGAATAGGTCGCGAAGACTTAATTAAGAGTGATGTATGATCAAGAAGTATGATCAAGAAGAATTATTATGAAGATGTATGATTGAGAAGACTGTATGGTCAAGAAGGATGGATGGCTAGGAAAGGTGAATGGTCTGGAATGTTGGATGTATGATCAAGACTGGTGTGTGATGGAGATGTGTGATGGGGGAAGATGGGAGAAAATGCCTTGGGGGTGGGATGTTTATATAGAATAATGTCCCAGAGCACAATCAGTAAAGGTGCAAACCTAGAGTGCACCTCATATGATTCACTAGGTGCGTATGCAGGAGGATTGCTAGAAGGTTAAAATCGTGAAAGGTCACAGTATGTGCAATCAGGTGCAATCAGGGAAGGAATCAGGTATTATGAGGGTTGATTTTACTATATTAGGCTTAGCAACCGGGGCTATCCCGAAAAGATCATAATTTCGGAGCTTGATTCTACGGGATTTGGCTATAGTGATCCCCGGGGCCGGCCCCGGAGGAGGTTAGACAGCTCCGGAAGGCTCCGGTTTTTTAGAATCAACCCCGAAAGCCTCCCTTGCTAAACCCTTTTTGGGCAACTTGGTTTCTGATTCAATAAAAAACAGATTAAGGAATTTTACTATTGGCTGGGACCGTACAGTAACTATACGATGGATAAAAGTAAAACGTTCATGTGTAATTAAGTATTCACTCCAAGTTTAAGCTAATTTCCTACTGTGCTTTATGAATTAAATATTAATTATCGACTAATTTACGAGGGTAGACAAAGAAAGTAGATAGCTAATTAAAAATGGGAATTCTTGTGGCGTATATCTCGAAATTAGTAGTTAAACCCAAGTAGGAAACAATGGAATTCTAACCCGAGAATATTTGATATTGATCATATGGATTTGACCACGGAAGAACATCTAATCCGAATCCCAAGTAACATAGACAAAGAGCGGCTCTAATATTGTTCTGGCGGAGGAATCTATGGCTCGTAGGTTATTGATCGACTGAATTGTGTCTTAGCGAACAAAGCGGTTGGGCAAGAAAGAGGAATACAATGCCATTGAAAGAAATTATAATAGACTGTAATATTAAATCTTCATTGTTACCAAAAGGTCATACCAGCATATATAAGCCTGACCGAGAGCAACTTTACTTCTGGGTATCAACTCATCTCCAGTCGAGCTTTCTTTAGTATCATCCCTATCGAGACTTGAACGCAGTAAGTCCATCTTCGGAATTCGTTATTAACAGCCGATCCTACAGAACAATTTATCAAAAATCCTCAAGGACATCTGCCCATCATGTCTCACAGCAGTGGACGTCTCTCACCTAATTCCAAGCCGGGAGCGAATGATAGATATCCCTCCACCACCATCTCCTCCATTTCTACTGGGACAGCTTACACAGGCGACACCCGTGTCCCTTACAACGATCGTATTCGATCTCTGCGTCGATCACCAGATGGGCACAGAGACGAGACCACGCCGGCCGGTGGCCTTGCTTCAGTACCACCAACGTCGGACCCGAGAGAGCCGAGACCTCCCGTCTCCCATTCTCCTCCAGTGCTTTCCATGCTAGCTAACTCTACTCAGGTCACAGAAACCGCGGAAAGCCTTCGCAACCTACGGCTGTCCATGGCCGGGTTAGAGAGCCGCGGGGGGAACAACCACCTCTTCAATCGTCGGGCACATGTCGCGGAGGAGACCGCGGCCAAGAAGAAGTCTATCGACACGACCGACGAGAGGCGGCGTAAGCATAATAGTCAGCCAACAGCCCCCTTGTCTCGAAAGATTGCCGTGCCCATATCTGCTGAAATGGCTGAGGGGTTAATCGCTGTCCTTGACGAGCTGTCTGGGAGAAACTCGAAGAAGAGCGGTGGGAAAAAGAAGGACGACGGCAAGAAGAAGCATGATGGTAAGGACAAGAAGCATCACAAGAAGGATGACAAGAGGGATGATGACCACAAGCCCAGAAAAGACGGCCAGACGCAGACTTAATCATCGAGCTTATGGATTTGCTTGTTCTAACTGTTTTTCGTGTTCATTATAGGTAAGATAGAAATGACTTAGGTGTCATTTCTTACCCCTTTTACCTACTACATGGACTTCGAGAGCAGGATCAACACTGCAATGATCATATAGCGATGCTTAAACATGTCAACCATGGGGGATATACGGGTGTCTTGAGGTCTCATGCGTTGAACGGCACGTACAAAGTCAAGTAGGATTGGAGCCACCGTTGATCTGGCTTCCCTGAAGCAATGTTCGTCCTAAACGTATACCCTCAACTCTTGGATATCCCTATGGTATCTTGTTTCTTACCCCTTACCCCTTACCCCTTACCCCTTATGTTTCCCACGTACCCCCTATACAGTTTCTTCCACGCATGCACACACACACATAGGCAAATCAAATTAGAAAAACACCTTAGCATAGATAACAAATACCAAAAATTGTATTTCTGTAAAAACATATGGCGCAAATACTACGTGACTGACTCTAAGTGGCTTTCTGATTTCATGCCTCTATGTTCAAATGATTCTAATGCGGCAGGTACTTAGGTACATACGACTTGTAATCAAGATCAAGCAGTGATCTTTCAATCACCAACAGTACGTAGGTACTTGGTACGTCTCCTAATCAGAATAATTAAATCGAAATCACGTCGATTTTCAATCAACGTACCTGACTCACATGGCCGTAGAATCACAGGATCACACAGTATTTTGTTTTGAGGCAGTCGCCGTCTACATGTGTACTTAAGTACATAGGTGTCCACAATTTTCGTACCGTAGTACCCAGTCCGTGCGCACCTTCCTCACAATCCGGCAACCGTGCACCATGCACGAAAATCATGTACCCCCGTACCCAAGTGCACACACCACCCCAACCCCACACACACTCACCACATCGAAACAGAACAAATCGGCCAAACTCCGGCCACAAAAAACCACGCACAACAGCATTTATAAACCCCAACAGCACGCCCATTCTTCAACAGCTGTCCCTCGGGAGGAAGTCCACTTCCTCTCAGAGCAAGCATTAAACCCCACCCGCCCTTGGTGGTCTAGTTGGTTATGGCGTTCGGCTGTAATTGTGAAAAATTGTTACCGAAATGTCGCTGGTTCGATTCCGGCCCGAGGGATCCTTTCTTTTTGCACTTTTTTACTTTTTTATTATCTTTTTTTTACACTTTGGCAATTACTGTCCTTTTGGTTGGGTTGACGCTGCCTGAATTTCTTTTTTTTTCCTGTCTTATTGTTGGCAGGGACAACGGCTGCAGCGGAAGAATGTGTGGCGATAGGATAGGTGCGCTATGCATGTAAGTCAATTACCTAGGCTTGCTGTGTCTATTGTTCCTGCTTATAACCACTAGTTATGTTTTTATTTAGCCCTTCTCAAGGTTATACCACTTCACTTGAGCTCGGGATGTTCATGTTTGCATATGCATTCTTTGTATTTCATTGATACTATTAAATCTAGACTTTTTATTTATATATTCAATTATGAACTATATATTATTCCCTAGATCTAAGTGTGCTACTTCATATTTACCATATTAGTATAACTAAAACACCCTTGCGTCCGTATTATGAAGGATCAGATTCTTATCTAGTCACTAAGGTCGTACTATTGCGCTTATAGCATATACTTTACGGGATTCAAATGCTTTTTTAATCCAGACGACTTACAGATAATAGAGACATCTATCATATTGGCATAGTAATACGGTAGGTGTATGGCAGCAAAGTATGGCGGCAGTGGCATACTACATTAGACTAGATCACGGGAAAAGGGATATAGCTTCATAATCATAGGTCACGGCACCACATCGCTTGAGCGCAAACATCATCGTAGCACATCACGGAACAGCAGACTTGAAGAGACCAGTGTCAGCTCTGAATTACTAACTGATAAGTGTACAAGTAAGGGAATAAGCACCTTTTAACGCAGTCTGTCTGTATATAGCGCCATCACGCAAGTCGGACACCAGCCTCCTTCCGCTTCTTCGTCTGCTGTGTCATGGCCGAACTCATGCCGACGTTCTGACTGGCATCCAGCATGCTCTGGGACTCTCGTCGCTTCTCGTCCTCGATCTTCTTGAGTCGCTTGTCCGTCTTGCCCTTGCCGCTTCCTTTGCCGTGGAACTGGTGGCTGAGATGCTTGAACGCCTCCTTCTGGTCGAGCGACCGGCCGTATTCGTCGTGGTACTTCAGCTCCACGTTGGGTTTGTATCCTTTGTTAAAGAGGTCGACTAGCTGTCGTGATGTCTGCTGGTCGCGCATGTTGTTCTGTTGCCGGGCCCACTCTTCTCTCTCTCGTACTGACATTCTGTCGAGCCTGCCACTGTTACGATCACGCTCACGTTGGTTGCGGGCCTCTTGCTCGATCTCTGCCAACTTTCGTTTCTTCTCAGCAACGAACAGTTGATGCTGGCGCTGCGTTTCGTTTAGTTCAGCAGCACCAGAGTCCTTCAGGAGCTGTCGTTCTCTTAGAAGCTGTAGGGTTGCGCCGATGCCAGACCCTATAGTCTTCTCTTCATCAACGCCGATGATGGCCGTCTCTGCTGGGGTTGACGTCTCGCGCTTAACTCTATCATGTTCGTCGTACCCATCCTTCATCGGCTCGTCTTCATCAGAGTCCTCCTCTATAGCTGTAACCGGAGCCTCTCTAGGCGACTTCGGTTTACGAGGTTTGCGGTCCTCGATATCTTCCTTCTTTAGCCCCGAAACAAATTCGGAAATCTCATCTAGAACGAGGCCACCCTCCTGAGCACCGTTGGCATCATTATCAACTTCTGGCGTCTGTGCTTCCTCTCGTAGTTGCCGCGCTATATCTTCAGGGCGCGTCCTCTTGCGCTTCTTTAGAGCGTCTCTTCTTTGAGCAGCCAAAGTAGCCTGAAGATCTTCGTCATCAGCGAATGTTGTGTCGTCTGTCTTACGCTTCTTGTTGACGAAACCGGCACCCGAATCTATGTCCATCGACTGATCTGGCTCTGCTGGTGGTAACGGAATGATATCGTCTTCGTCTACTGGGCGCTGTCTTGTCGACTTCGACTTCTTCTTTTTGGGCTTCTTGATTTTGATTTCTGAGATGTCCAAGTAATCCGAAGTCGGCTTGTCCTCTGTAAAAAGATCGAGGTTGATCTTTTGTCGTTGTCCACCGTATGCTTGATTATCCAGATCATCACTCAACACAGTATTCCCTAATCCATCCAGTGTAAACTTCTTGCCTCTCTTGCCATCGATTTCCTCATCATACTGAGCTAGGAGGCTACGCTCGCCATTTTCGTCGATTGCAAGGGGATCGTATACGGGCTTCTTCTTTTTCAATTCGAGCTTCTTGTCAAGCCTCTCTCGCTCTCTAAGATTAATGTTTTCGAGTTCGTCACCTTCCTCCCCCTCTCCCAAAACGTCGGTATCCTTGAGTGTCAAGATTTGCTCTTCACCGTCCTCGAAGGATTCGATCTCGTGTCCAACCTTGACACCCGCAAGATCCTTGGACGTGTACTTAATCGCTGCTGCGGCCTCAGCTTCGGCAGCCGCTAGTTCCTCCTCTAGCTTCCGCGCCTTTTCGATCTGCTTTTGGCGCTTCTTTTGACTGATCAACCACGATCTGGTATCAACCTCATCACCATCATCAACCTCGCCTAGTCCCTTGCCTTGCAGGTTCTCGAAACGTTTTGCGGCGTCACGGGCTCTTTTGATGGCAGCAGTTTTCTCTTCACGCTTCTTCTTGGCCTCTTCAGCATCTCTGCTCTTTTTGTAGTTATCGTACGCGGCTGCTTCTCGGGTCTCGAGGGTACTTCCGACGTCTTCGTCGGGCGTGGATGTCTTTTCTTTGAACTGAGGACCGCTTGCGCCAGGAACGGGCAAGGGTTTCATGCCTAGAGAAACGCGGAGGCGATTCGTCTCCTCTATCGCTGCGGCATCCATGATGGATGGTGGTAACTTGAGCGCGCGTCGATAGCTACTTTTCGATTGTCGGGAATGAAGAAATACGTGAGGCTAGGGTTTTAAATGGGACAAGGTTGTCTGCAGCTATTGCGATTTGTTGCGATTGCTTACTTGAAGTTAGGAAATAATGATAAGGACACTGGATAAGATATCGGATTACAAAGTACAGTGCTACAAAGAGTCATTGCAAATGGAAGGCTCTTTGTCGCAACACTAATGCAGGTGGTCAGTGCACGAATCTTAGTCTGCCCCACTTTCTCATCAGCCTCTGCACAATAAATTTCAGATTTTTCTCTGTGAAATTTCTTCTTCTTTCCTTTTACACAATCACGGATCTGTGCCCGATCGTCCTCTGTTCGCTCGCGAATTCAGAGTTGATGGTCGAGGCAGCTCGAATCACATATGGAATCATCCTTTTTTTTATGATGTCAATCCAATCGACAGGTCCCAGAGTAAGGAGCATTTCTGGAAAGCCTGAGTTCGCCGTAAAGGCTGTAACTCGGTGGACTGGTCTTGCTCCAAGACTTATATTCCACCCCTTTTTTCCGAGATCATTGATCTATGAGGTTGAGGCAAACCATAAGATATCTTACATACCATTGTTAATCTAAGTCTTGGCTATTCGTTCATCTCTGCGCTTTTAAGCGCTGGTAGACGAATCGCCTTGGTTTGGAAATGATGATATTTATTAGTATTCATGTCGCGTGCTAAGTCTCGTAGAATAAAATGCCAATAACGTGATCGGCTCTACCTCGGACGCGTAACACGTCTCTATGCGCCTATTTCTCTAGTGAAGCTGCGACGACGCGCTATGGTGGTTAGAGGGTATATCGTCCGTGACAACGAGAGGTTAGAATATTCTTGTTCGGCCTCATCGCGGGCAGACTAGTTCCTGGGCCAGAGTCGATGTTGCGATCCGTCTGTAGCCGTAATGCGATTACTAGAACGAGCTAAGGCTAGACCAATTGTCCTATAATAAGTCCATATAATAGGAAGTTTAGTTGGCAAGTTGGTTAAGCGGATACTAGATGTAGGGCTCTTAGCTTGTTTCCAGGTTTTCAGGCACCATCAGGGTCTTATACATATGACGATTCTAACTGACAAGCCGAGGAAAGTCATAATGCCTAGGTTTAGAACGGAATGTGCCGTGGTCACGTTTGTATTAGAAGCTACTTGATAGGAACAGGTGGTGTGATGAGGTATATCACGGGTCGATACGGAATATAGAAAAGCACAATGCGTACCTGACCTGTCCATGTACATAGGTAGGTAGGTTTAGGGGTATGGTTGCGCATGTGACACTGAGCAAAGCTGTTTACATACATCTGATTGGTTTAGTTGTGGTTAAAACCTTATTAAATACATAAGGTACTGAAATACTCCGATGTGTTTGGTAAATAATTTATGTAGATCGAATGAATTATTAAAAATCATATTGCTTTCTAACAGCTTCATCCAATTGGACATTTTATTAGTCTTCTGTTGTGAAGTGTCCGTACCGCAAAAAAGGTCAGCAGCTACACTGGCTCAAGTCGGGATCGCACACGTATCAACCGGATGACCTCCGAGCAATGGATTGTGGATTCCCTTGCAACTCCTTTCCCCTTATTCCTCACATTCTACTCCAACTTCTAATAATGCGGGAATAATGCGGGGACGATGCTCCCCGCATGAAAGACATTTAAATCTATGGGGTTAGCATGTAGCTGATGTACTTTTTTATATATTTACTTCTGATCCAGCCTCATAGTCCGTCCCTGTTAACGCCCTAGACTACCTAGGCATTCAGGGGTCTATTGCCGAATCCGTCGAATGCGCCCATCCCGTATGCACGGTACTGACGATTCCTGGAAACATCCCCCCTAGAGCGGCCCGATTCTAGATCCCCCAGTTTGCCCCCAGGTCACCCCAGGTTGAAGCTTGGTTGGCTGTTGTTTACCACCGAATTCTACATAGAACTGAGCTTATTCTGTACTCACGCCATTTAATTTCAAGGCGGAGTTGGTTTTCGCGGCGTTGCATTGACCCCATTAACCCCATTAAACACCGCCAGGTCGATTTACCTGGTTACGCCCTATTGACCGAGAAGTACCGCCGGGGAACCCCTGAGATTCGGTCCTACAGCTCTTCCAGAGTAGCATCCGGTCAGGTGTCCGAAAGAGGCAAGGGGCCTCTTCACGATGCTGCTGAAAAGCTTCGTATATATAAAGTAGTAAAAGATGGACGTCTTACAGAGCTCAAGTCAAGGGCTTCTCGCAAGCAACAGCACCTCGTTGATTGAACCCATCATGCAGGGCCTCACTTCTCTATTCCTCTTGGGCACTTTTGCCTTCCAAACCATCCTCGGCTTTCCCGGTTCTTCTCGGGTACGACGAGAGGGCGTGATCCTTAAGAGAGCGGTGGACAGTTTCATAGCCACCGAAGAGCCTATTGCCCTAGACAAGCTCCTTAGTAACATCGGATCGACTGGGAGCAACGCCCAAGGTGCCAGTGCAGGCATCGTTATAGCCTCCCCGTCTAAGTCCGACCCTGATTGTATGTAAACTTCTCTCTTGAATCTTCACCACAATATGCTAATTATTTAGACTTCTTCACCTGGACTAGAGATGCTGCTCTTGTCTTCAAGGCTATAATCGAGAGATTCACTGACAGCTACGACGCGGCTCTACAAACCCAGATACAGAACTATATCATCTCCCAAGCTACGCTGCAAACTGTATCCAACCCGTCAGGTTCTCTATCCGATGGAACGGGTTTGGGAGAAGCCAAGTACCATGTCGACCTCAGCGCTTTCACTGATGGCTGGGGCCGTCCGCAACGCGATGGTCCCGCTCTGAGGGCCATTTCTCTGATTAGCTATTCTAAGTGGCTTATTGCAAACGGGTATAATTCAACGGTTACTAACAGCATTTGGCCCATAATCCGCAACGATCTCACCTACGTCGCCCAGTACTGGAACCAGACCGGCTTCGACCTCTGGGAGGAAGTTAACGGAAGCTCTTTCTTCACAGTTGCTGCCCAGCACCGATCCCTAGTCGAAGGAAGCGCCTTAGCAAAGACCCTTGGTACAAGCTATGACTCTTACGATGCCATTGCGCCTCACGTTCTCTGCTTCTTGCAAACTTTCTGGTCATCTTCGAGCGGCTATGCTTTGGCCAATATCAACGTCAACAACGGTCGATCTGCTAAGGACGGCAACGTAATCCTAGCTTCGATCCACAACTTCGACGCGGCTCTAGGTTGCGACGCCGCGACTTTCCAGCCCTGCAGTGACAAGGCTCTTTCCAGCCACAAGGTCGTTGTAGACTCATTCCGTGACATTTACGGCCTTAACTCAGGAATCCCCAGCGGATCAGCTGTTGCTGTGGGACGATACCCCGAAGATGTCTACTACAACGGTAACCCGTAAGTATCCCTCTTGGCTAGTTTTCTAAGTACACCCATGGCTAATGACTATGCTAGATGGTATCTCCTTACACTCGCAGCCGCAGAGCAGCTTTATGATGCTCTATACGTGTGGCAGACTAGTGGATCCATCACGGTCACTTCCACCTCGCTGCCATTCTTCCAGGACCTCGTCTCGAGTGTCTCAGCTGGCACGTACAAGGCCAGTACAGATACTTACACCGCGATCTACAATGCCGTATTCCTCTATGCCGATGGCTTCTTCAACGTTGTCTCCCAATACGCAGACTCCAACGGCGCTCTTGCCGAGCAATACAACCGCGACAGCGGCACACCGCTATCTGCTAAGGACCTTACTTGGTCGTACGCCTCCTTTTTGACCGCCGCTGCACGACGAGCTGGTCTAGTTCCCCCTAGCTGGGCAGGCGCAGGTTCCACCGCCACTTCGGTTCCCGCTGTCTGCAAGGCGACATCTCAGGGCGGATCATACTCTACGGCCACGGTTTCGTCTTTCCCAGCCAACCAAACCCCCATCACCAGCACCGTGCCGACTACCACCATCACGCTGCCTACAGTCACACCCACTACTACTACCGGTAGCTGCACTGTTGCTACCGCCGTCGCGGTCACATTCAACGAGCTCAAGTCTACGACCTACGGCCAGACTGTCAAGGTAGTGGGTAACGTCGCCGCCCTCGGTAACTGGGACACTAGCGAAGCTATCACTCTCAGCGCTTCGCAGTACACCTCCAGCAACCCCCTATGGCAGGCAACTGTCACTCTTCCCGCCGGACAGGCCATCGAGTACAAGTACATCGTAGTTAACACCGACGGCTCCATAACATGGGAAGCCGATCCCAACCGCGCTTACACCGTCCCCAAGACCTGCGCTACTTCGTCGTCGCAGACGGATACGTGGCAGTGATCTAGAAGCTAGTTATTTAAGTCGCATCTCAAGAATGTTAGAATGCCCGATGGGTTATTAGAATAATAGGGAAATTGCGTTACTAGGCTAGAATACCTTAGTTATATTATGTTGATTAATGCCCTGAAGGAGTTACGATGATGCCGATAGACCGCTTCTCTTGAGGATGAGATTATGAAGGGAAGAACATGGAATAAAAGTAAATAGTTGAAACATATTTTTATCGTATCTTAATATACCATCAAGTGATACGTCTTGATTTAATAGTAAGTGTTCTTTGCTTCTGAAGCCAACTTTAGGTAGATATCATCATAGACCTTCTCCCCATCTACCCATCCATCACCTTCCCTCCTCTTCCTTTCCTCCTCCCTCCCCCTTCCCCAACACCCCCTCCAACTCCCTCATCAAAGTATCCACCGCCCAATTAAACGTAACCTCCATATCAACATCCAACCCAGCACCAACCTGCGCCAAAATCCCCTTCTCCCCCAACACCCCGACATCCAACCTCCCCTCCACATCCCCGTCCACAAACAACCCCCCATGCGCCGCCGCATAGTTCGGCCACACGACCTTCTCCACGTACCCCGGGGGGTCGGCCCAGAACCCTTCGAGCGTGACGTACCCGTCGCGCCGCTCGCGGCGCTGGATCGCATGCGCCTTACTGACGAGGAGGAAGAGCTTGGCGTCGAGGAGGGCGGGGATGTGGCCGGATTCTAGCTGGGGCGAGTATAGCAGGAACCCGTCTAGCAGGCAGATGCGTAGGTTGGTGGTGTGCAGGATGGAGTGGCCCGGTTGGCCGGGTTGTAGCCAGGAGGATACTTTGGATTTGGCGGCGGATATGGCGGCGTCGGAGACGGGGCAGGCGCCGATGGAGTTTTGGTCTTCTTTGGAGTCGACGAAAGGCTGGGATGGAGGGTTAGTTTGGGGTTCGGTAGGCTGTATGTATGTATGAGCAGTTCAAGAGCGATGCTAAGCTAGATCGATGTGGAACTTGAATTCATTCATGTATAGGATAGAACCAGGCAGCGATATATCCAATATCTCCTTAAGAGCTTACAGGAAAAGTACCATGAGCGCGGATATGCTCCAACGCGCGCTTCATGTCCGGGATATTAATAGCCTCGGCGCAGTCCCAATCCAGGAGGCCTTCTTTGTAAGGGAGTCTAGACACCAATTAGTTAGCATTGAACTGTTTTTTTTTCTTAAATCCGTTTAGATAGACAGAAACAATGAAATGTAAAAAAAAAAAAAAAAAAAAAAAAAAAAAAAAAAAAAATCAGTCTCGGGTCTATAAAAATCATCCTCGTGCAGGACAAACGTATTCGGAAACACATCGCGCAGCAGCCGGGCAAGCGTCGTCTTCCCGCTGGACGATGCCCCGCTGATACCGACTATGAAAGCCTTTCTATCCTCCATACCGACCTCTCTCCTGGATAACCTCACGGTAAATTATACTTATATTTTTTTGAAGGTATCATAGATTGAAGTGAGAGGAGGGTAGGAGGTTTAGCTCTTGGCTTGCGGGCAAAGATTAAAATGATGCAATTGCGCCGCTAGCGGACGGAAGACTGCTTAAGGTAAATTCCTCCAAGGGCAAAATTCGGAGCCGCCCGGGATGAGTCAGCCGGCTCCTTGGCTCCCCTTTTCTCCGAATGCTATGAAGTTCCGCCGAGGTGTATGAGTATATGGTCTTATGTAGTCTGATATTATTCTGCTGCATTACTTTCTACATTTTGTAAATTCTTAGTTTAAATTAGAGAATTCACATGGTCACAATCTACTCTAGTATGTCCATGCTGTCCGTCTCATTGGAAAAAATTATTAGGTGAACTATTCTAAGTTCTAACATCAAGTCAACTCCCAACTACAGATCCATATAGGGTGACCATAAATATAACAAGACAAAAATCTAACAGATGAAAAAAAAAAGTACATCTGACCTTCACCCGTATCTCGTGTTAAGCTTCTTCATGATCGACATCGCTCCACTCCTATACCCACCACCAAACAACGCCCAATGATTCAGGTGATGATATCTGCATAGTTGTTAGCTTCACAAAGTCCGAACAATAAGCCATCAATATGAAGACAGCACAACTTACAATTCATACAACAACACCCTATCCTCCCACTCCTCCTTCGGTTCAGCCTTCGGCACCAAACCCTCATACTCCTTCCAAAAACTCGTCCCAAACCCTCCAAACATACGCATAATACCCAACTCGTACTCCGAGTGCCCATACACAGCCGACGGATCGAACAAAACCTCTTCAACACCCCCCTCGCCCGCAATCCTCCCTCGTCCATGATTCCCACTCCACAAGTCCCCATGCACAACGACCGGATAAACACCCGTAATATGATCATCCCCAATCAGCCTCGGCACCACCAAACTAGCCGTCCTCTCCAGCGCTTTCGTTAACTCCAGATCCGTGCCATTAGCCTCAACGCCCTGCTTTAGGATCGCGCGCAACCGGTTATTAGCGTAGAAATCCGCCCAGGAGGTCTTCCACGAGTTATCCTGCGGCGATGATCCGCAGCACGTCGTCACCGGGAACCCGAACATGGGCTTATCGAAGCCGTCTGGGATCGGTGCGGGAGTCGTATGCAGCTTCGCCAGTTTCTTGGCGAGGGAGTCTCCCGAGCCATTCGGGCGGAATGATCCTAGCTCGAGGAAATCTGTTACTAGGAAGAACCGGTTGGGGTTCTCTCGGCAGATGCCGTTGGCGTGGGATTGGGGGCATAGGTTGGGGACGACGGAGTGGACGGCGTTGAGAGAGACGTGTTCCCCTGTACTGCATCAGCGTCCTATCAAGTGCGTCTTATCATACAGTGGGATAGAGGCATCCCACCCTAACCTTTAAACATGAGTTCAAAATCGGCTCCTGTTCCGATCTTGACGAAGTAATTCTTCTCCTTCCCGTCTACTGTTGAGCTTAGCTTGAAAGTCGAGGCGAACCCCGAGCCGCCATGTGAAGCGATCTTGGTGTCTTGCGCGTCTAAACCTAGCGCTTCTAGGATCGCCGGATCGACTTTGGAGGCCATGGTGGTCGCGTGTCTAATGGTGAGAGATTTGCATAGGTTAATTGGTATGCACTGGTTAATTGGTATGCACTTCAAGCCTGTTAGGACCTTCATGCAATGTCACCTCCAAGTGAGGCCTTGGAGACGAAGGTGAAACCGCCGATGGTCTGATAGATAGCTTATATGAATGACGTCACTTTTCTCGATTGGCGCATCACTTCCAAGCAATCAGTCGAAGTAAGGGCCGGACACATATGTACAGTAAAGCTTCGTATATATCAAACAAAGAAAAATATCTATGTAGAGTGGTGTAAGTTAAACTCTAATTTGGGGTATCGTCGTCCTCGGAACTCCCCGTACAAACGCGATGAGCGAATAACTAAATCTGGTCAGTCGCATGCCGCATGCCGCATGCCGCATGCCGATGATGTAGGATCGACAAGCGCATTTCACCTCACCTGCTCACCTAACGAATCCATCTTTTAGGGTATCGATAAGCCACTAAGCGCCCTAAGAAAAGCCCCGACAGAACGGGTAAGCCCGCACAAAACTTGGCAATACGTCTTTCCCCTTTCTAGTAAACCGTTCCCATGATAACGCCACACATTAATACCTCTAAGTAGCGGCTAGATTTTTCACCTAGTTGCCGCAGCCACAGCTGAACGCTAACAAAATAAAACGCTAAACACTCCTTTGCGCCGAAAAGTTTATACGCGGGTATTCTTCATTCCTTCGTCGCCTTATGAGGCGTTGTTGCAAGGGTGCTCGGGATTTAGCATCCTTGCTGATGAACTCAGAATCGAATCTCAAGCCGTGGTCTCCGAACTAAAACTAACTCGCTGAGTTGAAGTTGTTGGTGTTGAGCATAAGGGAACCAAGTCTGAAGCCACACTTGCCATGCTTGGCTTGCGGGCTAGACTGCTGGCTTGCTTATACCACGGCTTCTTCACGAGTTTTAATTTAGACCCTTCCTCCCTCGGCTTCTCAACAATGGCAGCGCTCGTATTACTTCTCGGTGGTAGAACCTCGCCGGGATCTATAGGATCCCTAAAGACTTCTTGACCGTGTCCCGTGCCGTTGAAGCAAGCTGCGCACGGGCAGATGGGTACTGTGGGCTGGAGACGAGATGGATGGACGGTCTGGCTCCGCCACCAGTTTTGGAATTCGGCCTTCATTGTGGTGTGATATGCTTGGGGTAGGTAGGTAGTCTTCTATGTGTTTCCGCTCGCAATGCCTTCGTAACGTGTGAAGATGGTATGCGCATCGAGCTGGGAGCTTAGTTGAGAATAAGAACAAAAGGTAAAACCTAGCTACGATTGTCTAGAGATCTGAAGCTGTTTAAGTACTTAAGAATCAAGCAGTCCTTGTATTCGGCCCTGCCTAGCGGACACTAGCAGAAGCAGGCGGAAAGTAAAACTCGTTATATATGTATCTACTGCCCTATGAGGCTCCGTGCCGTTACATGGCATTCCCGAATCATCCCGCGTGTCGCCACTCCGGGATGCCAAGATCTCTTTAGTCCTGAATTAGTCTGTTTAACATGCGCATATGGCCGACATCCCGCTGATGCATCGTCTCAGCTACGCGCGATTGCTCCCAGTTTATAGATTAAAATATGCGGTCAATTCGCAAGGGACTGTCTAAGGTAGGTGACGAGTCATTGGATGTATTAATATTTAGGGGGCCAGATATTAATAACTTTCTTCACCGATTTTTAAATGGAGGACTCTTGTGCCTCGAAGACGTTGTATGTTACCACCATCGAAGTCCTTATTCGTTGGACACGATGAGTGCGTGGGTTGCACGAATTGTTCCTGAGCGGCCCCCACGTATGATCTGCGTAGGTTCCAGCGCGGCGGTGTCCAACGTGTTGCATTGGACGCCTTATTCATAGTCGATGTTACCTATCTGCATACAAGATCACCACTTGTCCACTTTGTACCAGATTGACCGCAAGGCTAACATCGAGATGTTTCGTCTACAGCAAACTTACTTGCGGCCAAGGACAAGAAGTGCAGGGTAAGGGAAAAGTAGGGAAGGAAGGAAATAGCTTTAGGTACTTACAAAGTCGGCGATTCTGCGGACTTAATTCGGAAACCTTATTCTGTGCCTCTTACTCAACATTACTAGGGAAGCACGTGATTTATAGAACTTCATAATCCGGGTTACTAACATTCATGACCATTCATGATTCGGCGAGGGGGAAAGAAGTTGAAGATAGATCATTACTAAATGGAGATAATATTGCATCTTTTTCACTGTTAATTGTGACATCAGGATTTATCGACTTTTTTTTAAAAATTTTTAAATTTTTGGGAGTAGACGATGGTGGTTAAAATACAAAATAAGACTCTGCTCGCATGTGTTGCTGGCTGCCAGAGGTAGCGTACAGATTTACCAAATGCTTCTACTAATCAATTAATCAATTGGAATGATTTTCCAGTTAGCAAATCAAATAAATTCCCAATATGACAAAATGTGATTTACTTTAGCACCAGAAAATGATTCTGCGCAAGGTTTCCTCCCAGTAAGAAAAAACACTTTAGAGGGGATAATATTTAGATCACGACCTTATATATCTAAAATAAATATATGGGACTTTGGCAACGTTACAAGATTAATGACCGTCTGAGAAAACATCTTCTCATGTATTGTCTACTAAAAATAGGGGATCATACTCTGTCCAATTTCAAGGGGTTTGCAACAAGAATTTGAAGTTCCCGAAACAGATCAGGGCTGGAAGTTTCCTAGAAAATCTGACTTGCAATGATGCCATATCATTGTTGTATGCTTCAAATTATCCGTAGCTGTCTCGTATGTAGGATCTGTAGTGAGACACCAGTGACGACTTTAAAAATGGTGAGTTGGAAGGGTTAGGATAATGACAATCAAGACAAATGTGGTGGTGTTAAAACCTGCCTTTGATTATCGTAACAACATATAATAAAGTACCTAGGTAGGTAGCAGGGTAGGAACAATGAGGCTGATCCTATGATAATGGTATAACTTCAAATTGTGCATGGGCCATTTTTTGGGAGTGATTCTAGAGGAAATGGGAAGTGAGGCCCTGATTGTGATTGAGTGGAAAGGTTAAGAAATTAATCAACTTCCTGTCTGTGCATCAACAACTGATTCTACAACTGATGCCTTGGTACCCTAACTTTATCACTACCCTTTCTGTCTTCCAAATTCGCACATCTTCACCTCAGGTATCCAAAGCCATCCAACCAACCAGCCATCCAGCCATCCTGATTTGGTGATTTCCCTTAACTCTACTACTTCTAAAGAGAGTCAACGCATTGCACAAATTATTTTCCCTCTTCTTTCTCTCTCTATAAATTGAGAGAAAAAACTTTTCGTATAAACCCACGACTTCCACAGCTGCAATTACACCCAAAACCAGGTGGCACCTTACACCCAACCGCCAACCGCCAACCACCCACACAATTCTCCCCCAATTTGTCTTACGAATTCCCATTCATATTCCTAGGTATTCTTAAGAAGCACAGCTTCAACTTCATATCGCAACCCTAACTGTCGACCTCCAATCTGGTCTGCAAGACATACTTCTGCCCAGAAGAACATCGACTGCAACATCGACTGCAACAGCGACAGCAACTGCAACACCCCCCACCCCACACCTTAGTTTTCCAAGACTAATCACCTACACCACAATGTAAGTAAAACCCACCCACAATATCGTCAAGATATTCTTCCCACCCAAGCGCGCAATTACTCACCAACCCCCCAAGCCCCAAGCAGCCAACCATGTCGTCATCCTACGTCTACACCGTCCCCGGCGCCTACGGCCAGCCCATCCCATGGTACATGCTGAGCCCAGACAACGCGCTCCACCGGCCCTTCGGCGCCTTCTCGCGCGGCCGCACCATGTCCCCTCCCCCCTACGCCTTCGGCATTCCCCCCTCGGAGCTCGCGCGCCGCCGAGCCGACGAAGCCTTCGAGGAGCGCATGGCGCAGCTGGCGCGCTCGCCGGGCCTCCCCGCGCCTCCTCCCCGCCGGCCCTTCCCCGAGCCCCAGATGCCGGTCCTCGGGCGAGCAGTCCTGAGCGTCGGGCGCGCGCTGACCCGCTGCGCGGCTCGGGTGCGGGGCTGGAAGGACTGGGCGGTGCAGACTAGGGAGCAGGTCAAGCAGGATTACGCGCGCGTGGCGTTTGCCGTCGAGAGGAAGTATTGGCTGGCGTTGACCGAGTACCGGAAGAGTCCCTGGCCGAACACCCTGCGCCAGCTGTGGTATCTGCTGCTGATGCTGATGGGGCTTATGCTCGTGGTGTGGGTTGGCTGGTTGAAGATGCTCGCGGTGATGGAGGAGCGAGGACGGGAGAGACAGGTTTATTTACGCGTGGTTCCGGAGTACAAGGTGTGGTCTGTCACCCGGCCGCGATGTACCGGGCTAAATGAGTAAGCTGGTTGGAGTGAGTGAACTGAGAGGAGTGGGTGTTGGTGTCTTGGGATGAAATGGGAATGTTAGAAAAGAAAGGAAAACAATAAAAAAGGAGGAACGCATAGGAGTAGGATAGGCTTCTAGGTTGTTAGAGGAATTCAAGGGCGTCTGGGGTAGCCCAATTCTATCTTACTATCAGCGCGTCATTACTGGTTATTACATATGTAGAGCTCAAGGCTTAAGCACCTAAGCTAGACAGATCGAATTAGCATAGCGATTTTGCAAAGTTGAAAGTTTAGCCGTCACGAATTCGAATAGGGGCAAGACGTCAGCGTCTAGATTAGGAAAAGCAATTACATTGAGAATCAAGAGGGCGAGGGAAAATATCGAAATGCATGCAATAGTGACAAACCCGCCCTAGCTCTACCTATTTCGCAACACCTCCCCCGTTATTCCCACGCACCCCGGGGGTCCAACCCTGAAAAAGTTAGTACAGTTTATCGGACCAGTGTCTATACGTATCATCCTTAGATACCCAAGCTGAATTCGACGCCAACGTCAATGTCCCGAGCTAAGCGAGTGTTAGCATTCTCCATCTCACTTCGGAATATTAGTCTATAAGAAAAAAAAAACATACCCAACTTCACAACCTTAGACAGCTGTACCGACTTCTCCGCGGCGCTTTGGAGGTCGTCGATGGAGAAGATCTTCATTCCCGAGTCGTTGATTAGTTGGTGGGCTTGCTCTACGTTGGTGCCTTGTAGCCGAGCAATGATAGGGACCTTAAGGTTCAGGGTCTTGACGGTGTTGATGAGACCGTGGGCGATGGCGTCGCATCGCACGATACCGCCGAAGATGTTGACGAAGACGGCAGTAACCTTGGCGTCGCTAGTGATGAGTTCGAAAGCCTCCTTGATAGCAGCGGGGGTAGCACCGCCACCGACGTCAAGGAAATTGGCTGGCTGGCCACCGTTCAGCTTGATGATGTCCATGGTAGCCATAGCCAAACCGGCACCGTTGACGAGGCAGCCAATGTCACCGTCGAGCTTGATGAAGTTCAGGCCAGACTCAGCGGCGCGAACTTCCTCGGGGTCTTCTTGAGTGGTATCGCGCCACGAGAAGATCTCCTTTTGCCGATAGCTGGCGTTGTCGTCGAAGCCGAATTTGGCGTCCATGCACATAACCTGGTGATCAGAGGTCTCGGACAGGGGGTTGATCTCGATCTGGGTGGCATCCTTCTCGAGGAAGATCTTGTATAGCTTCTGGATGGTGTCCTTGGCCTCCTCGATGCACTGCTCGCTGAAACCAAGCTTGGTCGCAATATCCCGCGCAATCTCGTCGGTTACACCAGTCTTGATGTCGATGTAAGCGGTGTTGATAGCTTCGGGGTTCTCCTTGGCGACGGACTCGATATCCACACCGCCCTGAGAAGAGGAGACGATGACGGGACCTTGCGAAGCTCGGTCCATGAGAATGGCCAGGTAGAACTCTCGGCGAGCGAACTTGCGCTCGCAGATATAAACCGAGTTGCAGAGGCGGCCAGCCGCACCAGTCTGCTTGGTAATGAGCTTGTGGCCGATCATCTGCTCGGCGAACATCTTGGCTTCTGTGGGAGAGTAGATGACACGGACACCTCCCTTCAGGCCGTTGTCGAAGGTACCCTTTCCACGGCCACCGGCTAAGACCTGGGCCTTGATAACCATATCCTCACCACCGATCTCCTTCGCTACCTTCTCGGCCTCGGTGGCGGACTTCGCATTGCGACCTTTCGGGACGTTGACGCCATACTAGAAGAACGTGTTAGGATATTGTTCGGATATAAGAGTTGAGCGCTAATTTCTACCTGTCGCAATAGGTCGGCTGAGAGATATTCGTGAATGCTCAGATTTCTTCGCTGTTGTTGGGCGATGCCGTTGAATCTGGTAGCGGGGGAGAAGGCGGTCTACATCAGCGACAAGTGGATTAGCATACTTCACTAAAACTAAAATGCAATATGTTTGGGTAGACAGCTCGAATCAAGTCGTCCAAATCAACTCACCCTAGAGGCCCGCAGGGCAGAAGCCGCAGCTCGGCTGCGAGCGAAACCGTACATTATTATAACGAGCTAAGTCTGAGCGTCAATTGACTTTAAAATGGCTCAGGGAAAACGAAGCGCCACTGGCTTCTCGGTTATAACGGATGAAAGGAGGTGCTTATTTTTATTTTTTTCAACTGACGTTGCGATGCTATCGTCAAACAAGAACAAACTGGCCCCGGCCGTTAGGGAGAGCTCTTTTTCGGCAGAAAACGGGAAAATCCGGTCTTCATCTGATAGGATCCACTCTGCCCGGTGAAGCTTAGATACATACAACTTGCAGCTGATGCTCCTGCATGACTTCAGCGAGCATGTGCCACGGGGTCTGGATTAAGTATCTTCCGTCACATTTTGTAAACCAAAGGGGTGCGTTACGTAATCTTCATGTCACTTTACCATGTGCTAGGTACTCAGTGAAAGTTGCGTATAACCTGTCGTTTAACACTGTGTCGCTATCTTATCGTATCTTGAATTCATCCTTACCTTTTTCTTTCCTTAGCATCTGAATATGTATCGATGCGAGAGCCCGCTGCCAAACCGGACGGCAGCAGCGCACAATATGAGCGTCATGATCTGGCGATAGTATAGCTCGCTAGCTAATACATCTAATACTCCCTCTTATAAATTATAAACTAAATACCTAACTGCCATTCCACCATCATGGCGCCAACTTCTACTTCGACCTCAAAGGCCGCGCCCACCGGCAACCCAGCGCCCGACTTCACCGTCACCATGAACCGCATCCAGACGCAGCTCGAAGCGCGCATGAAAGCCGCCCGCGCATTCCTCCCCTCGCGCTCCGATCTCAACAACGCCTCCTCCTCCTCCGGCAGTGGTTCCTTCTCTGCGCTCGGCGGCAGCTCCAGTTCCTCCAACCCCCAAACCCAATCTCGCGATGCGGCAGCCAGACGCGCCGCCGAAGAAGCCGAGTTTGCCGAGGAGCGCGGTCTCGATCCGAACGCGGGTATAGGGCTAACTCGCAGTCCCGCGACTGGGAACGAGAACAACGGCGGGACAGACCGGGACACAGCTAGGCTGCGCGGACGACTGTTAGGAAAGCGAGGGAGAAACGGCGCGGGTACCGATGGACAGCAGAAATGGGTGCGCAAGGAAGACAGCAGCGACGAGGAGGCGGGGCGGAGCGGGCTCGGGCGAGCCAAGAAGAACGGGAAGAGGTCACGAGCGGAGATGGAGACGCAGGAGAGTAGTGACCCTGTCGAGTCAACTATACCCTCAGAGCCTAAGAGGCAAGGGGCTGATACAAACAGTATCAAAGCGCAGGTTAGCCACGCCAACGGTCCCAGGGACGGAACGGGAAACCCGGTTGCCGAGCCCGCAGCAGCTCCCAAAATTGAGTCCAATCAATCCCCATCGGCAGAAAGCCCGCAGAAAAAGCGCAAGAGGAAAAAGAAAAAGAAGGCAAGGGATGGAACTGGAACTGGTGGGGAGTAGGTCAATAAGATTGGATCGTCCCTGTGGCTGTCCCTTAAAATGACGGGAGTCTGCAATTGGGACTTCTAAGCCAACCATTTAATTCCGAATAGACTTACTAGGAACTCCCTAGTAGGGAGTCTTCGAAATGTGATAGATCATACAATCAACAATCAAGTTTCTAAGGAACTACTGCGGCTCCCTGGCCGGTTATGCATGCAAAGAAGCCTTTACTCCTCCATTAGCTACTTTCTTAAGAGTACATGATTAGTGACTCCGCGAGCGTAGTTGCGCGTGAAGCAATTGGGACAAGATTGTTCCCACTCGACTCCTATCCAACCGATTACGACAGCACCCCCCCTCCGAAGCAAGAAGCAAGCCCACGTTCCGTGTTGTACAAAACCCAATGGGCAAGTTAGTTCAGACATCCGACCCCCCAGCCTCCAAATTTGAAGATGTCCTATGTGAATGGAATATAGTGAGTGTTTTCTCACCCATCGCCATACCATCACTAAACCGTTCCGAGTAATTCTCAATGTAGCCAACGCTTTTTTGGTATTTCAGCGGGAAACTTAAATATCCAAGAAATGAGTATAGCAATGCAGTGAAAGAAAGGAAAATTTATGAAAAGCGGAAGGAAATTCGTAAGGTGCATAGTCAATGTCATATAACATGGCCGTAGCTTGTCGTCCCGAATCCTCGAAGAGATTCGTGTATTCCGCATCAATCGCTCTATACAAAAACAAAATCCCGCCGTGTGTGGTATAATGTGCGACAACGCTTTCCATGACGCAAGATATGGGATATTCGAGGACCTATAATGCCAATTATTACATCCGTTTTCGCTTCCGATCATCATCTCCTCGGGGATCGTCCTCGTCGTCTCGTTCTACTGTATCGGTCGGGTTGAGAATGTGCGCCATGCTTCCCCTCCTGGTTGGGGGAGCAGACATGTCTTTGATTGAGAGGTTCTTGTTTTCTCGGTTGGCTGAATTCCAGGACCAGTTATTGAGACTTTCTAATCCATTTCCGATACTACCATTTGAGAACGGAGCTGGAGGAGTAGCAGGTCGTGATAGTGAGTAATGGGGCGGCGGGTCGCGGATACGTTGCTCGTCTTGGGCGCCTCGATTAGGGGAAGATGGCCAGTGAGACGAAGGTGGGCCAGAAGAGATGTACGGCGGCGGGTTGACTTGCCACCCAGCAGCTCGGATATCGGCAGAGGTGTGCCGCCTAGACAAGCCGCTCGGTGGGGGCTCAACGGTAGCAAGCGGATGAGGCCCAGGAGGAGGTGGCGGTGGTTGAGATCGGAGGGGAGAAGGCGATGACTGAGTTGTGCTCCCGCTAATCGACCCATGCGATCGACGTGAGCCTATCGCAACATTGGAGGAGCTAATTGCGAGATTAGAAGATACTGGAGGTCGGTAAAAATTCGTTCGAGATTGAGGGTATCCCCCTATTCTTCTTTGATCGTCCTGAGCTAACTGCCGGGGAGATACAGGGGGATTTTCGAGATTTGCAAAGAGCTGGCGGCTATTCGGGAAGGTTGGCTCATGCGGTTCGTCGATGGATCGGACGAATTCGGTCTGGCGTTGAATTTCGCCTTGCAGCGCAAGAACTACGACCGTATTAGACCATCAAATGCCTTCATTGTCTGTATAAAATGAAACTTACCATCTCTATGGACGGGATTCTCTGGTGGAACGAGGCTCAGAACTGTTCTAGATAATTCTTGATTCAGCTGCAACAAGCGATTCATCGCGTCCGACATTGCTTGCTGCTTCACGTTCATGTAATGAGCGTTCTCCTCGCTGCGCTGCAGTCTAGTCGTGACTTCGTACAAGGAGTGCTCAATGCTCGCAAGCCTCGGATCTGAGCCGTCATGAATTGGTGGCATGGGTTCTGCTGGAGTACCGGGCTGCGACAGGGTTGGCTTCTGGCTATTGTACTCTCTGTGGTCCCGGTGGATCAGCGTGTGACGAGACGCTCGTCGCTTGATCTCGCGCAGTCCAACCAAGTCGCCCTTCTTGAAATTCCCATTACCATGTTTAAATTCCCACAGCGCAGTTTCTGGGGATCCGGTGTGAAATACGTCGCTTACTGAAATGCTCATTTCGTTAGTCGTCTAAGGTTTTCCGACAAGGGCTCATATCCCTGTGCATACCTTTATGAAAGCCGTACATATTTAGTTGTCGGACGAAAGAGGATATGTTCGTGTGCTTGAAATATTGGCTGTTACTCAAATTAGTCTCATTGGTTGGCCGCGCGGGACTGGAGACATACGCAAGAACTTTAGAAAAATCATGTGAAGGCGACATAACGAAGCTCTCAGCGGAGGTAGACCAGCTAATTAAGTGTTGTATGTTAGGATCTTCTAACATACTGCGAAACGGTTAGTGGCTATGCGATCATCCGTGATAGGAATTATAAATTATACGCACTTGTAGAGTTTATGGATAAACGCAGTCTGTACTATCTTCGGCTGGTGAACAGCCGCAGCGGCAGGCGCAGGCATTGTAGTCGAAGCGAAACTCGAGCTCTGTTCTCCTAATAGCGCAGTGCTTTGGCGATCATTAGAATCGCTACCTTCTCCCTCGGAGCTCTTCCTAGCACTCTGCGGGGCTGATGAGTTAGTCGGCGTGGTGATATCCATGGGCTCGCCCGACGGCGAAGGAGCCGACATCTTTATGGTTGGCATCGGCGTAGGAGTGGTAATGATTGGAACCGTACGTGCGCCCATGCTCTCGTCAGCCTTGTTGACAGGTATGTTTCGCGGCGCACTCTCAGTCGCAACGTCCATCTGGTCTAGGTAGAAAAAAAAGGATGCACTAGTTAGCAAGACTATAAAACTGGAAATTAGAGACAGGCGAGACAATTTGACAAAGAGGGACACGAGACTACGGCGGGGAACTGGAACGGGGACTGGGCCGGATTTCTAGAAAGTACGGAACCACGAACCGCATTGCTTCTATTTCATAATCGTGCACGGTTTAAGGGGCCTCCTGAGTGTTTTCGTTTCTAGCTTTTGTTTCTGGGCGAGGTATTGCTGCTAGCTCCCGATTATCTGACATGGGGTCCTTTCGACCTAATTGTCGCGGGAGTCAGCCTTGCAGATTGAAGGTTTAGCTAGCTGCTCCTCGCCGCCGTTATTTCTGTCGATGGTGGGGGAGAAAAAAGAGATGTAGCTTAGTTTAAGTTGGTGCTTCTGGCCAAGACTGGAAGGGGGTTATTGGGGTCGGCAAAAGAACGAAAAAGAGCTATTCTATGCTCCCATCGTTAGACAACCGGCGGTACAAGATATGGTACAGGATACAGGATACAGGATACAGGATATGTGGATATGTGGATCTCAAAAGAGAAGTAAGATATTCAAGTTCGCAGTTCGCAATGTGCGAGCAGGTGATGTATGTATGGAGGCAGGTGTATGTATTGGTGTATGTATTGTACGAAGGTCGCCATGTAGATACCTCTTACTTACAGGTAGAATGTACGTATATGACAGCCTGTGGGTGGCTCGGGTTGTATGTACGCAGTTGCAAATGGAAGGTAGGTGTGGCCCCCCCCGTACGTATATGGTCCTTTGGCGACCTCGGGAGCAGGGACTGATGTACATATGTACATATCTTACATGGTTCAGCCCAGACCCGGCGGTGGATCACCCTAGAAGCATGGTCCGTGAGGTGCTTGCTTCGGGGAAGGGGAGATATACATGTGTACTTCGATACTTATCTTAGGAGGTACCCATGTACGGTGCCTCACCACAAGCACTAATCAGACAAGGAAGGATCGGGAGTTTCAACGGAACGACTTTGGGATTACCTAAGGTAGGTACTCTTGCCAAGGAAATAATGTACCATGTAGTACAATGTAAAATGCAACTCACCAATACACGTGTAGAGAGCTGCTAAGATGCAGACGTGAAGATGTGCATTCCGCAGCTTTTAATCTTCTGTTCATGTAATAATAGAAGAACCGTAAGAGATGAATGATTGCGGGATATGATGGGGACGACGACATGTCTCTCCCCCCCAGATGGATACAGTACATGTATGAACCTAACAATGCATTGCAGACAGGCAGGCATCGTTGGACGATTCCTTTAGAAAAAGAGGACCATGTTGTGCCCTAGGTCCGCTTTAGGGGTATTGCTGGATCCAGGATCCTTCAATTACCATGTCTTGGTCTAGTTCGACTAGCTAGGTACCTAGGTAGACACTGCATGAATACCTCTAGGGGGGATCCTAGCCTAGAAAAATTGTAGGTTCAATGGCATAACTTCCACTCGGAACTTCGGGTCGTTGATCTGAAGCATCAGAAGAACCTGGAAGTTTGTTGATAGTTAGTACAAACTAATGTGTAGCAGCTACTAGCTAGTCATCAACGGCGAGGAAACACGCCTAACGTGACGATCGGCCGTATTGCTACATGACATTTGCCCTTCAGACTTCTGCATCAGTTCTAGAAGAGTTTAGGTATAAGCGGGGAGGATAAGAGTTGCACTAGAGATGGCCAAATAAAACAAAACGAGGTCATGCATGATGCCAAGTGTTATTCCGAGTGTCTTTTGAATAAAAGGAAGTACCGTAGAAAAAAAGGCCTTTTTCAAAATTGATATCTTTACAGTCGAATATCCTACCGAGGCAGGGAGTTCAATGTTGCTGATAGAGAGAGATTAGGTACATTATGGGGCTGGGGGGGTCTATTGACATAGTGTCAGCAATAGTGATAAGGTGTGGACATAATGTCGGCGGTGCGCCGCTTAAGAATCAGTCCCCTACCTGATTGGCTATCACGTATAATATAGACACCTTCGGGGGTGATTGTATCCAAATTATAAGGATAACTAGGTCTGAAATAGCTACCGTACGTACACGATTATATCTTGTCGTAATTGTATTACTTTCGAAATACTGATATATTAGGAAAGAGTGGCTTTTTAGACATCGTTACCAACGGTAGTTACGGTCACCTAATCGACATATGTCACGTACGAGACTGTGTCAAGTTAGGACATAATGTTAGGCCAGGTAATATAATATTAAAAAAAAAAAAAAGAATAGAAGGCCTTGTAATCTAATATAAGGCCTTCAACATATTTATATATATACAGCAAAGGCACAGGCACATGTAAAAGTCAATTGAAAAGATTACGTTGAATTACATATATTACGAGATTACGGGCTACGTGTTTTACCATT